ACTAAAACTTTATGATAGAGAAATGGCAGGACTTGCAATAGTTTGGAGCTAAATTAACTTAAAAGCAAAGATGATGTCTCATTTGTATAAGAAACTGAAATACGAAAGTTAAACAACGAAAACCCAAAACAAAAAAAAAGCAAGGAAGAAATTGCTTGACAGGAATCCATCTCAAGCAAAAGATTAAAACTGGTTTCATTTCATTTTTATGTGGGCTAATGAGACAAAATACTGCAAATTCGAAGAGGATGAAGCAAACTGTTCTTCTCTGTTTCAACTTTTAAAGCAATGAGCCTCTTCTTCACAAGCAGAACATTATAATATATAATACTATATATATGGTTTGGAAATTTAATGCAAAAGAAAGATAAAAATATAACACTGAAGTGAATAAAAGAAATATTCAACAAAAAGGGAATTAACTTCAAGGATTTCCCGGATCTCTGTGAGCCTTACCGTCTCCTTCTCCTCAGCTTCCTCATCATTGTCCAGACCGTAGCACTTAGAAGCCTTCTACTGCTTCTTTCAAAGGCTTCTACTGCCGCCATAATGTCGACTACATATTTTTTTTCCAATGTTGAAGTCACGAGCCACAAGGACGATACACAATATAGGTGGAGGTAGCAGATTTGAAAGTTTTATACAGTAATATATAAGATGACCTTTATCCAGCAGTGAAAATAAAGATTTAGGAGATATGGAACAAATTGTATAACATCATATGTTTGCCAAAGAAGAAAAGAAGTATATATTTATTTTTGCAGTGAAACAGTAACCAATTTGTAACTCTGCACACCATAGTTGCAGGCCAAAGACAAAGACCCTCCTCCAAACATTGGGATGAAGTTTCCCATCTTTTTAAAAAAAACTGAAAATCTATTGGAAGTTTCAATTTAAGGAAACACGAGTATCCAAAAAAGTTACACATGACAGAAATAAGCTTCGCCTCAAGTCTATCCGCATCAAGACATTTGTGCGAGATTTTTATTGATTTTTAACATTTGAATGATCAGTTTACTAAAAGATCAAAAATTCAAAAAGACAACAAATTACAAAAGCAAAAGAAAGTACCTTCTTTTTTAAAGCTCGAATTCTCTTATCAATATCTGCACCAGAACATTCTCCAGTTTTTGAAGTTTCCAATGTTTCTTTTGATAGAGAAACACAAAGATTATTTATCCCCTCCGTAATTGATTCTGCAGCATCTTGCCTATCATGAAGAGCCGCAGAAGGCTCTTCAGCTATTCTCTCTAAAGCTTCCTCTACGTCCAAGTTATTCCCCTTGTCTGCTGTAGCAAGTGAAGCCTGCAAACCATTCTTTTTGTTCAGACCTCCACATATCAATAGTAAGAAACCCAAAAAAGGTAAAAAAATAGCTTAGGAAATCTATTGTCTTTCTTGTTTGCTAATGTGTCTACCGTGTCTGTATGTGCACGGAGGAGTGGAGGGTAAGTGCACGTTTTGGTGCTGCATTGCCCGTTCATGGTTTAACTTGATCTGACAATAGAATGAAATTAATGGTTCAAATTCTGCCAACATCTAACCTTACAAAGTGAACGTGATGCTTCAACATATTTTCATAAAAGGAGATGACAACAACGACAGATTGTTTTGATGTTTTAAGCCAACGTTGCAGCGCAATGTGCTACTGAATAGCCACTTTTATACTGTTTCAACATCACAAAAACAATTATTAAAAGACAAAGCTATGGCAGTTTATGCATGCTTCTGATATTTCAAAACATGCAATGGCGACAACACTATTAAATACAGCCCGAGAGCCAGTTGAAACCATTTGTATTCTATTAATAAGAATTAATTCCTTGGTTCTGGTCTGGCCAATAAAAACTAATACAACTTCAAGACAAAGGCAGCACTCTATTCGTCCTCCATTAGGTATTTAGGTGTTCTGCTCTTTCAAATGTTAGGCCCTTATATGAGAAACATGAACAGAACACGGCCGTTCATGTGGACGTGAATAACCACAAGGAGTGATCATTTTGCTGGAACAGGTTGCGAGTTCGACAAACGAGATGTAATCAGCTTTGTAAGCTTAAAATCAATTCCTTATTTGTGTAAATCCTTAAAATCAATTTCTTATATGTGTATATATATACATAGTTCACGCTTCTAACTCTCTATAAGCTTCCTAGTACTATCTACAAACTTTCTAACAACCAACCTTTATTCGAAATCAAAGAATTGGTTTGGGTGAGCTTTAGGTTCTCCTCCCTTAATTTGAATGAAGATGGAATCAAAGCAACATTCTTGCTGCGACATAATGACAGCTCAAAGTGACAAACAAAGCATGAGATGCCCAAACCAAGCGAGGAAATGCAACAAAATACATTTAGAGTTACTCCACCAACTTTGGTCAAATTTGAAGATATAAATCTTTGACCGTAAAATAATACTCTCTTTTCATAAATTTTCCTAGGAAAATCATAACCGTGAAGGTGCAAGCACCTAGCATGCCGATCATTCCAATCATACCAAATTAAACTCATTCACTAGAAGATATACACGACAAAAGGATCTCTCAGTTTGATTTTTATTTCATGTCATTTGGACTTCTAAAGAGGAAGTTGTAAGGATTAGAACCCAGGGCTCCAGATCCTTGTTAGTTGTTGGAACTGGATTGGTCAACTACTAACTCCTTCCCAATCATAATTCCACTTAAATTCAAACTCCACCAAATATAATCTTACTCTCCTAAGCATCCTAGGAGATTTCCTTATCCACCAATTAGATCACATCACTGATTAAAAGCCCATGCACACAGCATCACCATAAATCATCAAATACTCCAGACCATAACTAGATTTCTTAACCTTCAATTTGATTTTTATTTCATGTCATGTGGACTTTTAGAGAAGAAGTTGTAAGGGTTAGAATCTATGGCTCCAGATCATGTATGGTTGCTAGAATTGGTTTGGCTGGTTATTAACTCCTTCCCAATCCTAATTCCGCTAAAATTTAAACTCCACCAAACATAGCCTTACACTCTTAAGCATCCTAGGAGAGCCCTCCATCCACTAATAGGATCACATCAGTGATCTAAAATCCACACAAGCAACATCACCAAAGAGTTACAAGAAAGAGAGAGTTGGGGGAGAGTAGAGGATAAGATAAAAAATTCAATTTTAATGTATTCATCAGTTGATTCTATAACAAGCCCTAAATATCCTATTTCTAGAAATAAGGTTGATAAGAACAAATTAAATTGAATTCAAGCATACCACCATTTAATCCTAAATGATTCAAAGTTAAAACCAAATATTAATCAAAAGTACAACTAAACCTATTTTCAATAAAAACAAAGTCATATAATATTAATTTAAATGAAATAAATTCTAAATATAATTTCATGTACTGCATCGATTCCACTTGGCCCAAAAATCCTCCTCCCAAAAAAAAAAAACATAAAAGGCCTTTAATTAAAAGTTTGATATAGTTGAGGTGGAGAAACTGCTTAATGAACAACATTGAATATTAAACATATATAGAATAAACATAGAAAACAAAATCAAAAGGTTTTGGATGGATGTTTCAATGCATTGTACATCTTCCTCAAAACAATCCCATAGAAAACTCCAGTTGCATGGTGATGGTAGCAATAGTATCACAAATCAACACTTTGGCACTATATATAACAATCATCTCGTAGCATATGTAACTAGACAAAATCCATCAACAGAGGAGCTAGCAATGACAAAAAAACCTATATTTCCCTTTGTAGGGTTTCAAAAACAATAAAAGTAATCAAAGGTTCCTAAAACTTAGTGCAATCATGACCTCTAGCAAAATCTTTGATAAAATCTCGGGTTCAATCTTAAACATTTGCAAAACAACAGGCTAATCATCAAAATGTCATTTACTCATTTGCAAAGTAAGGACTATCACAATAATAATCTTTATAGATTATCTCAAAATAACAATTGGATTTTTTTTTAACTTTTGATATAGATGTCTAACCTTTTGAAATTGATATAGGTGACTTAACCTTTAAAAGTCAAGATAGTGGTTTACCGTTTATAATATAAATATTTGAATATTTCCTCAAAATTGTCATATAGAAATTTCAAGCGATATTTTGTTCAACTATCCTTATCTAGATTTAAGTCATATAATATATAATTCATAATATGATGATGTTGATGACATTGATGAAACAAGACAATAAAAAATAAAAATGAAAAACAATCCATAGTGAATGTTCATAAGTATGAAATTCTTAGATGTGCAATTATGTCAAATTTATATTAATAAGCTACAGATCTTAAATAATTTGACCATATTGACGTCTTAATAACAAATGAAGAAATTCAAAAAGGTTAAGATTAATGTTTAACAAAAATTATAATCTAAGCTATTGCTGATGTAAAATGATGTTGGATTCCAATGATAATTTGGTGTTTTCTATGTAAAACAAGAAATAGCAAAAGGAAAGCAAGTGTGACTCGAAGGAGAGAAATAAACAAATAGTACATTTGTCAATCAAATCGAGTAGTTGATGTCAAGGGATAGGGCATTCTAGTAAATGTGTTACATATGGATAAGCAAAATCAATGCAATTAGGAAACACAAAAAAAGACACAAGGGGTAGTATCTGAGCAATTGAGAGATGTGGCGATTATAATGTTGATAAAGCGACCATGATAGATCATGCATGCAAAGAAAAAGTAAGTGGCAACAATGATGTGTACAATTTCCAATTGACAAGATGGCGTGGAAGAGAAGATGGGTTCAAATCAGTGGGGTGCATAAGTGCGTACGGATTGTTGGGCTTGGATAATAATTAAAGAAGAGGTAGTAACAAGATAGAAAGAAGGAGAATCAAGTCTTAGAAGAGGGAGAATTGAGAAAGAAGAGATGATATGTAGATTCAATCTGAACTAATTCATCATTTCATTTAATTGCATGAAATTAGATATCCTATATATAAAAATAAGGTTTATACGATAAGACAAAGTCAAATTAAATTCAAATATAATCACAAATAATTCAAAATTTAAAATAAAATTTATCCAAAAGTATGATCCACCGACTAAATTCGCCAATGCCATTTCATGGGCTATCTAAATAGGCTTACAAGGACCCCCTCCATCAATTTTCTATCAAGTCAATTCCCGATCCATCCAGATTATTATGACAACATACATGTTAGGCAATGTCATGCATTGTCTTTCGACCAAGTCAATAAGAGATCACCCTCCTAAATGACAAGGCACCTAAGAAGGCTAGAATAGCTCAATAGTTTATATATCCATCAAATTATCTTCCATGTCGTCATTTGGTCCTCCCACCACGCCAAAGTTATATATCAGTCAAATCCATTATGGTCAGCATCACCTCATTCGCTCGTCGAACCCACTCTGATTTGACATGTTTATCAACTTGCCTAGGTTTGCAAGGTTGCATAGATAAGTTATCAAATCAAATCTCGGTCCTCCAAGACTACTTAAGGTGACAAATAAGTTGGACAATGTTATGCCTTGCTTATTAGCCAAGTCAACAAAAAGCTACATGAGATTAGATTGGCAAGAAATCTCATACTCCAAGCTGTCGAGTTGTTTTCCCTATCGTCCCAACAAGTTGCATAATCGTCATCCGATCAATACATACAACAAGATAATCTTCCATAATCAGCATACGATTTTTTAGAAAGATATTCTATTTATTTTGACTAGGTATCAGAATACTTCATCAAATAGTCTAAGTTGATTCCCCCTTGAACATATAATATTTTTCAAGCATGCAAATGCATTAATGGCATCAAAATTAGGTGATCTTGGACTCTTTTGATTCATCTCTTTGATATTAACTTCATTTTGTTGATAAAATTTGTTGGAAAATAAAGTTTAGATGATCCTAAATTCAATTCCGGAAATTTCTAATTCATATGCTTGTATCAAGATCTATGTTTGATCAAATGAATTTTCTCGTGGTGTTTTAGCATTCAGCACAATTTTGAATAACGTTCAAAGGTAATGAATTTACTTTACCTCATTGTTCATTCTACTTACAAATCTAAACATGATGAAATTAGTCACATGCACTTTGTGTCAATGAAGAAGGCATTTGGTACCACCCAAATCACCCTAAAAGGAAAGCACACTTCCTTTTTTTCTCAGATTTTGAAAGTTGTTATGGATCATTACCCATGAACATAGCATTTCATAGACCAATATCCAATTTCACATCAAATTTCACCCGGAATATGCCCAGATTAATCAATGTAATCTTCCAGTAATAGACCATATGCTAAACCAAGATCTAAAGTTTCCAAGCCAATTCACACCAATGATACGCAAAGAACTCACCTGGAGCTTCTTCTCCTTTTTCCGCTCATTCCTCTTGGCAGACTTGGTCTTCGGCTTCGCATCCAGCGCCGGATCGTAACCAGGAGGGACCAGCGATTCCGCCGCTTTCCTCATCTACATTATGCCGCACAAGAGAGAAGATAATGAAAAAGGCAAACTTTCAGAACGGAAAAATGAATAAAAAGGAGATGAGGTGAGGGTGGAAGTTTACAAGGGTGCCCTTGGACTGGTAGATTGCTACTTCTTCCTGGGCTATGTAGCCGGCGCGGATACGAATGGGTTTACGAAGGGTACCGTCAGGCCGCCGGCTCGGGGCGAGGATGCGCTCTCCCTCTTTGGGCATTTTCATCAGACGTGTACTCGGCTCATCCCCCATAACCGGAGAAAGAAAACAAACACAAGTCAGCGCCGCTCCCCTTTTCCTTGCCCTTTCCCTCTCCCCTTCGAACGATCGCGATCTCTGGACAGCGAAAACGGGGTTCGGATCTTTCTATCTCTCCCTCTGTCGTCCTCCCTGCCTCGCTCGCTCTCTCTCTCTCTCTCTCTCTCTCTCTCTCTCTCCAGATATACAGATGAGCAGATGCCAAATAAAAGATTTCCCTAATCACAAAATAGTTGGAAGATGATGAAGAACATAAAACAAAATAAGGAGAAATGAAGAAGTAGATAATTGTTACAGGTTATCGACACTCAAATATTAGTCATATTACGAGTATCACTGTTTTTTTTTGGGACATTTAGGTCATTTAAGGCAAACTCACACACACAACGCATAAACATGGACTCGAACCTTGGACCTCTTAGTTGGAAGCCTAAGCTTTCAACCAATAGGCCAAAATATAAGTATCACTAACTTACACTAGACTCAAAAAGAGTTAAATTGGATGACGATATTTTATATATTATTTATTAAAATAATCTTAAATAAGTATACATGTCAATTTTTATTATATTTATTCTATTAATTGCATATAAATAGTTTAATAATTTTTTTTTTTTATACATCATACTTTTTTTTTGAAAGTTTATGTATGAATAAAAAACAAATAATTTTGCTCGAGCTCGAGATCGAGCTCGTTTGAGAAGCACCAACGCATGTGATGCGTATTATTATATATAAAAAATATTATTATAAATATAATATATATAATTATATCGAGTAGCTTGATAAGCTTTCGAGTCGAGTCGGGTTGAGCTCGAACTCGAGCTCGTTTATCATACGAGCTCGATTGTCGACCCGGTGGTAGAGCACTGGAGCTTCTCTGTACAACTTGAATTGCACAGACCTCAGCAAGACCTACAGGTTGGCTCGGCTTGAGCGGTAGCTCAGGGTTTAGCCAGAGGGAGGAGGCGTTTCACAAACAATGAAGAGAGGAGTCTTTTCGCAAAGGCCGCAAGGCTGTAGTAGAATGTCAAAAGCCTAAGGCTGCGCACACGATTCATGAAGAGGAAACATTCGGAATTCGAATGGATTGACAAACAACATGAGATGTGTCATATTAGAGAAAAAAAATTTGAGAGGGGTGGTAGAATTCCAAAAATACCCCTCTTCTACTTTTTTTTTATTACTTCTACATTACAAAATACCCCTCTTCTACATTAAATTAAAATGCCCACTCTGAAATGAGTGGGGATCCGCCCATGGGAGGAAGCGAAGAAGTTGATCAGTGTTGCATTCATATGAAATGGCAAATACTCTGGGTGAGCTTCGAAGGAGTAATGGTGAAGAAGTTAAGTGAAAAATCATGAACACAGTGGCTTTAAAAATTGTCAAGGATTATTTCTCAAAGAATTCATATCCACTATATTACATAGCCACCTCAATGGATTTTGAAGTCAGCCACTCTAACCTAAGCTTTTTAAATGCTTTTATAAGGTATCACCAAATTAAAATGCATCCAGTGAATAAGGAGAAGATAAAATTTCTTACTGATAATGGCATATTTTGTAACATTATAATGATGATAGGGTCAAAGAACATGATATCCACCTATCAAAAACTCATAAGCAAAATATTTCGATACCAAAAAGAAAGCCCAAAAAGCATGGACTCCGGATGAGCACTTCACAAATCTATCAAAAACTTTTGCCACTCTAATGAGATTAAACAAGAAGCTAAATTTAACAAATGATTTTTAGTGCAATATTTGGCAAGATATGATTACTTTAGATTGAAGCTCCTCCCTTGCAATCCATAAAATACATCAAAATTTTAACAAATAAGCTTGTTGGGCTCAATGACTTCACTCCTCGGGCAATTGAGTTGAGAGCTCCAATTTTTCTAGAACACTTAAGGAAGTATAAAACCTTTAAGTGGATGAGTGTGAGGCAACCTTTGATAATCCTCGATTGAGGGAAGCTTTTTATTACACTTTAAAGTGTATAATGTTATGGTTTGTTTAGTGTCGGTGCGAGAAGCAGAGCAAAGGAAACAACCGATTAAACAATATTAACCATGCCTTAAAAGACTCGAGACAAATATATTATTGATTGAAAAGTAGGCTTTTACCCACCGAGATTTAGGGTGGTTGGTAGGCGAGCAGCCGAGCACGGTTGGGAACCCCCCATCCCGGATTTGAATCCCCTTTACTACGGCCTCACCTCTTCAGTGGGACAAAACAAGTGTGGGTCTGATGCCGGTGGGTGGCCTCGTTAGGTTCCGCCGAGGAATTAGTTACGCCGCCAAACGCTCCCTTTGAAATGGCAGTGGATAGATACCCTGTTCCCAAAAAAAAAAAAAAATTGGCTCTTGCACTGATTATATTTGCCTTGCACTAGAGGTCATATTTTCAAGCCCACATAATCACAGTTGCATTGGCTGGCCCATCTGCTAAGTTCCTCAAAAGCATTAGTTATTCTGGTAGCTAAAAAAATAGTCAATATAGCTTAGTGAGTATAATCCTGAGTACCTTCCTCATCAACCATCAAAGCACAAGTTCTAGCAAATAAATTGTTGAGTCTACTCTAAAGGGTTAAAACTATAGTACCCAACACAACTTTATGAAGCTTTGATCCTCCACACATATGATGCTTTTGAAGAAATTGCTAGCAGTGTAGGTGCTATACTCATAAGCCTACAAGGTCTTATCATCACATGTAAAGAAGTGTTGATTATATTGGATTGTCAAAGTTAGAACTAAGAAGTTGGCACTCCATGTTAGCTCACAGCAATTCACCAACCATATTATTGGAACATATGAGGTCAAGTACCTGATTCTATCAATCTATCTTGAAAGGGTCTTGTGATATTGAGGTTCGTTTATTTTTAAGGCTTCGTTTGAGACGATTTTTTTCTGCTTTTTAAAACAGTTTTTTAATTTAAAAATTAAAACTTTTATACTAGAAAGTTGCTTTAAGAAGCAATGAGAAAGCCGTCCCAAACGAAACTTAAGTAAAAGTGTGTGCCCTAAGGGAAAATCAACCTACTAGTACAGTATAGGAAGCCTCATATAACTTCCATTAAGGGGCTAACATTCCTACCTCTTAACGAGTATGAAGTCATACAAGTGGATGAAGCAATAACTTTGATGACTGGGATTAAAGTTTTCCCTGGCCAATAGAGCAGCACCAGTAGAGCGTGATGAAGCCTAATTGATTAGGTAATGGGAAGCCAAGTACTTCCTCTCTTATAATCTGTAGGAATCTACCTTTTTTCACTACTGTTGGTCAAGACAGAGAAATTACTATAAATTAATTCTAACTAGTGTGGAAGTCATTTTATCAACCATGTTCTGGTGAGGTTATTCTAGTAGGGATTCTTCAGATCAACTACTAGCGAGATGCCAAGGCAACAATTAAAATTGTATCAAATTCATGAATTTAGAGATATTCACTAGATTATGCTTGCCTCTGGTCATCATCACCAACAATAATGCTTCATTTGGGACAACTTTCTTTCTGCTTCTTAAATCAGCTTTCTATTATAAAAATTTTAATTTTTGTACTAGAAAGTTGCGTTATGAAGCAGTGAGAAAGCCATTCCAAACGAAGCCTAAATCTCAAATAAACACCTAAAGTTCTCTTTTTTTAAGCACTCTTAAAATAATGGAAAAGTTAAGACTGTCAATATATTAACTATGAATTTATTGAAAGAAGGTTAACCACCAAAAGAGGTCCTTTCTCTTAAGAGTTTTAAATTATCCTCTAAACCTACTACACCACACCACCCACTATCACCAAAGAGATCCCTTTTGCCCTGCGATTCAAAACAAAAGTGAAAATATCGATCAAGTTGTATGAAAAAACTAGAAGAATCTTTATCTTTCATCAATAGGTTCTGAAATTGTGTACAAGTTTTGCTTGAGGTGAGTATACTCACCATTACAGAAGGTGACGACGTCCACGATGATGAGGCTCCCAACGAATGCACCGAATATGCAATGCAGCCCAATGATCTGGATGGTGAGATGGAACACAATGGTGCCGTGACTTCCCCTAGGTCCTCGGGAGGATGTCAATGTAGTGATGGAACAAGAGATGCACTCTTCAGAGCTAGTGGTAACGCTCATTAAGTCAACCATGTCTCTCGAGAGTACTTATGACGATAACTTGACGAATCAATGATTGGGTTTAAAGAAAATTGTTGAGGTATAGTCTAACATGAGCACAAACCTCAAATCATTCAAGTTGGCAAGACATCAAAGGGGAGGTGATTTGCTTCACCTATGCTAGGTGATGTGAGATCTAGAGAAGGGTCTCTTCCATGTTCTAGGAGGCATGGCTAGGTGGGGCTTGAATTTATCAACCTATGGTGGGAAGGTGGTTGTAGCTTCTTACGAGATGAACAAGGCGACTTCTTTGAGTGGTAAATTGTAGAGTAGCTACTGTGAGGTGGTGATAAAGTAGAAGGCCCACCATAATGTACACAATCAATTCAATAAGCTAGAAGCTAGAAGACCTAGAGACAGAGTTGCAGTAAAGCGATCCTGTTAAACCCTTTTACCTTGCTAAGACACAATCAAACTGCATCGAATAGGATGTATGCACGATGACGCATCTCAATTACATGTGCTCGAGTGCTTTACAGGATGAGCTATTATATCCCTCGTCAAAAATAGCTTGGAGGAGCTGAGGCACTAGGTTACCTCAGTAGATCCAACATATGCTTGAGGATGAGCTATTATATCCCTCGTCAAAAATAGCTTGGAGGAGCTGAGGCACTAGGTTACCTCAGTAGATCCAACATATGCTTGTGGGTCTACAACATTAAAGAGTAAGAGACTCTTAAAGTGGCACGAGCCAGATTGTGCAAGCACCAAGGTCAGTTGTGAGCGGCTGAGCCCTCAAAAGGGTTGTGTAATTGAAAGAATGGATATCAAAATTTATGCTCATGAAGAAGAGGAAATTAGATTCTTCTCCTAAGATTTCCTCTCCTACATGAGAGGAGGGAAAGAGGTGCTGTTCGTCGGGTGTGGGGGACTGATTACTTCTATTGGGATTCCCTACAATCGAAGAAGAAGGTACCACATGTCTCCCCGATACCCTGGGGTGCCCATAGACAAAAGGAAGGGGAGGAGTGTATGGATTGATTATTATATTAAGGTTTCATTTGGGATGATTTTCTTACTGTTTATTAAAATATTTTTTTAGTACAAAAATTCAAACTTTAAAAGCTGCTCTAAGAAACAACAAGAAAGTCATCCCAAAAGAAGCCAAGTCATTGATCTGATTTTTTAAAATTTCCCTCATTTCCTCCCACTCCAATTTCCAACATGCAAATACTAACAAGAAGCTGCATAGAAACTTCTCCTTAGCTTGGGGAGCATATAAAAACAAACAAAATCAAAGGAACTGTTAAATCATTCAGATACCATCATATGCTTTCACGGCTGAACAGCTGACATTCCGCAAGAGAAACCGAATCAAAGGAATGATTGCTTCGGTCGCAGAGCTACATGTGATCTTTCTATACATCACAAATACTATGATCAACCATAGTTGTAGGCAGCGAAATAAAATGAGAAAATTACAGTAAAATATTTTTATTTATAACAATATTATGTAAATCTTGAAGATCAAAACAAAACTATCAATTTTATTTGTCAACTTCTAAACAACTCAATTGAATCACACATACATAAATTTGTTATTTAATTTTTTATGTTTAGATGCCCAATTTATAAATAAAGTAGAATCCAGCCACTAAAAATCTCCGTAAATTTTTCCATGAACTATCAACTTGGGACTCGATATGCTGGGTCCACCATCTTCAGAATGAATAAATTTCCCTTGTCACCCCTAGAAACCCTACAACCAGGAAATGTTTTTAAATAATTGGATAAATATATAAATCAGTGAAGTATGCCACATCAAAGCAGTTTTTTTTTTTTTTTGAATTATTAATTCAGTATACATGACATGATTTAAATGTTTATTGTGCAATTTTTCTAAAAGATTCTTTTGTAAAAGATGATGGCAGAAAACATAAATGACACAATTCTTACAGAAGAACATAAGCTTAATTCTCAATTGAAGCGTGCAATTTATTTATATGGAACAATTAATGACCAGTAGATTAAGTGCAGTTCTTATAAACTATCAGAAGCCCATGCATTGCATTTGAATTTACTTATCAAACAGAGCGACTATAGAAGATTAATTTTCCAAAGAGAAGCCTTTATTGTAGATGCAATGAATGATAATTCAACAGCTTTCACATAGAAAGCCGATGCTTAGACAAAATCTCCTACTAATCAAACTTCACAGATTTTTTTTTTTTTTAATTAGTTAAGAGCAGCTTCCAGATACTCTTAGTTTATCAAATATGAGTAGTGAGAACTTTAAATCATACGTATTTCAACAGGAGACTGATTGATATTACATATCGAAATAAAGTAAAATGACTTTATCTTCATTCAATTAAGTATGAGGCTTAGGTTCATGCCATCTAAAATTAGGCTAAAGAAATTTAGCACAAAAGCTTTCTTACCTTATCTCTTCATCCAGGTATGTAATTTCTAACTCCCCACGCGCTCTTCCAGGTGCCACTATAGGTATCTGTTAATGCAAATTACTCTATTAACAGCTACATTGGATGCTTGCTATATTTGAATCATGAAAACAAGCAATTGAAAGATAACGCCGTGAAGGATGAAAGGCTTCTTGAGTTTATTTAGAGGAAAAAAAATGAATTAACTAATTATCAACCCCCCATTAACCCAACGGAGGAAGCTCATGCACTGGTAAGCCCTTTGCACTTTATTTTTAGGAATGTGAAAGCATCTAGTTTAATCCCAAGTCAAATAGTTCAAAGTTTTTATGATAAATATATTATTAGACGGCATTCAGGCCTAAGCTTTTATCTTTTACTGATATATTCAGCAATGGAAAAGAGATAATATTTGATTAAATGGCTTCCTAATTAATCTATCTAAGTAATTTGGTGCAACTCAGTTCTTCAACACAAAGATTGGTTACGAAAAATTCACCAAAAGGTCAAAATGCAAACCATCCTCAAAATACCGAGCAAGTATGCTAGGATGCCTAACATTTTGGGGCATTTTTATCTCTTCAAATATTTGGCCTTCCAAAGATTCTGTTAGAAGGACCGGTCAGCCGATCCGACGGGACCGGCTCACATAAACAGGCGGAACTCTCTGCCTACCTTTACGCACCGAACGGAGGCCGCATGTTTCGGGGGAATGTTTTGGAAGGATTTTTTGAGGGGTTTGGGAGGAAAATTTGAATGTAGGGACTGTTTAGGGATTTCCTTTTGATTTGTATGCATTAAATATTTGGTTTTCCTAGGATTTGGGCATCTTGAATTTGGCTGAAATTTGAGATCTCTTAGGTTTAGGTTTTCTTTGGGCTGTAGCGGCGTCTAGAGATTTGGGAGAGATTGATCCTCCTCTCGAATAGAGGATCAAGTGTATCTTGCTATTTTCCGTTTCACTTTCATCAAGTAATACAAATTATCTGCTATTTTTGTGATTTTGTGTGGATTTTGTGGAGAAAGCTCGCTGTTTTCCAAAGATTGATAGGAAATACTCGAGCTCTACAAGTACTTCCTATCAAATTCAGGCGTGTTCATCTATCCCTAGAAAACCTCCCCCGCCCCAAGGAGGGAATAAGAGTATACCAGCTCAAAGATGTACAGGGATTTTTTAGCAATTTCAGTTATTAGTTTCTAGACAGAATATAGTAGGTAATTTAAGATCAAGTGTATAATTATCACCCGACGATGGAATAAAGTGCACATGAGGCAAACATAGGCTGACTTGTTTGATTAGCCCAATTATTTATATTTAGACTTAAGTCCTGGTTACAAATTAGTATTCAAAAGTAAAGGATGCAGGAAACATGAAAAGCAAAAAGTAAAACATTAAAGAGCTTCCCGTGCTTGAAAGAATGATAAAAGGGCCTTCTCAGAAATTGAAAAACTAACCGAAATAAGAACTGCCAAGAATAGATAATTGTAGTAGGTTAAAAACAAAAGTCACCTACCAATCCACCAATTTTAAATCTGTCAAATTTAACAGCAACCCTTCTTGCGTTGAGAGGTACTAAGTTAGCAGTTACCTGCAATGGCAAACTTCGTATTTGAAAGACAAACTATAGAGAAAGATCATGGATAGTTTAAACTGTCCCCATCGTCAAGAAAAGAAATGAAACATACTTGGATCAAAAACCTAAAAATGTAAACATGAAGTCAAACTACAATAGATACGTGTTTACAAGTAAATATTCCTGTAATACTTACTGATCAAAATAAATGTAAAGATTTACCTGATTGAAGTAAGGCCAAGTTTCTATATTTTGAGCCCTTAATGTATCAGCATTGATGGCTTGATAGATCTTCCCGAAAGGACGAAAAATTTTGGGTCTCTGCATGATGCAACAAAAAACAAAAAACTGTCATAGTCCACAGGATTCAATTTCTTTAAGTTGCAACAGTCTGAATGGGTAATAGAGATGATGTTTTGCTTAACAAGTGAATGAAATTTTTTGACACTCCTGCTTGATATATATTCGTTGAAATCTAAAAAAGGGGGGAAAAACAAAAGCAAAAAAAAAAAAACATGAAATTAATTTTTAGTTAAACAAGAACACTTTCAAAACAATAAACTAAAATCATATGGAACTATAGATAACAGTACCTGGGGTTGAAGAATGGACTTGGAAGTTGTATATAAAAGCTCCCATTTTCCATTGAGTAAATCAGATTTGAGTGGCTCCGTAATTGGATTAACTGCCTCAAGCTCACGTGCTATCTATTCATTTAGATGGTTCAATAAAAGATTTAAAGATATCCAAAGATGAAAAATAAATGTCATGAAGCAGGGAACACTTTCAAAAGAGAACTTTTGCATGATGAAATAGAGATCACAGAGTGTGAAAATAGTATGAAACGTTTTCAGCAAGTGCAACAGAGAACAAGCTAATAAGGTGGATGATGTTGATGACGAAGACAGATAATAAGCATTCTAAAAATAAAACACTGATGGTACTAGTATTGCAGCGTATTAAACAAAACAAATTAGAAGGGAACATTCAAGATTAAAAATCAATAAATAAATAGTTACAAACAATTTGAAAACTTATAAAATTACAATTACTAGCACTAAAAAAATACACCTATGATTACCTAGGCCTATTTCATGTTGGTATGTTACATATTTCACAGGTGAAACAATGTCCAAAGCAAATCAAAATAATGGATCACAAACACCTCACTTAATCCATTTGCAAGCCTTAAATATAATTTAAAAAAAAATCCTCATATGATGGGTATTTTATGGGTTTAAAATTTTATTAAAGCTGCTTGGGCCAGCAGATGATGGAAAAACACATTTTCATCGTTCAGAAATACAAATGTTGGGCTGTAGTTCCTATAAATTATTTAAGTGAAATGCTTGAATTAGTTTTCTTATGCAAAATTCTAAATATAATTGGCATTATTTAGATCAGATAATAAAATGATTTGATTGGTAGGTTATTTTACCAGAGCCTAGTCTGAATCAATTCAACCACTCACAATAGCATGAGTTGTAACTTCATCTGAAACGATGGCCAATAAGTTAATGCAAGAGGGTGCACGCATTAGAACTATGAGGTGTTGGACGGCATGGCATAGCCCATTAAATGTTCTGTGAACTAGCCTAATCCATAATACATTCTGATCTGGGATCATAATTACATAAAATAAAATAAAAATAAAAATTAAAAGCAAACAAACCATGCATGACTCATAATTCACTTAACTTGCTAAATCATTTTACAGATTCAAATGATACTTAAGATAAATTAAGCTAGTCAAAAAATGATATTGAAGCGGTCAGGTTCCAAGTATGGAGTACATGATGCATGCGCTGATAGGGGGTCGGTTCAACCAACCGGCTCCCAACCCTCCTTTTTTTTTGTTTATTACCTTTATTTCTTTTCTATTTTTTACCCTTTATTTTTTTTTATTTACTCTTCTTTCCTTTTAAAAAAAAAAAGCTTATAAGAGGGGAGTCCTTAACAAGAGAATTTAGATTTTGGAGAATTAGTAGCATGGCTACAGAAATCCTCTAGTGTCCAGTATCCTGGAATTCCTCCAGGTGGTGGCCTAACCACCCTTCTTCCCTTCCAGCCGCCGGTCAGCCTCCTTCCAGCGACAGACATCAATTTCCAGCCTTCATCCACCTTTCTTCCAGCATGTGGAAGCCCGCAACAGCCCTCTTCCGGCCAGCCTGATTGCTGCAGCACCACCTCCTCCTCCTCCTCTCCCGCTGGCCTGCAGTTCCTGTCGCTGCAAATACCTTTTCCAGCAGACCAGTCCCCATTCCAGCATACTAGAAAGTGCAGAATTCCTTCCAAAAAGACCTGGTTGCTGCTGTTCTTCTTCCATCAATCAAGAAAGCAACTGCCAACCTGTTCTGACCACCAATAACAGCAAATTCCTCATTCTTGGTCCAGAAATCTGTAGCAAGATTCCTCTCTGAAACATCTTCAGCCTTAAAGAATACTTGCTTTGACTAGTTCTAGATTATTAGCCTTCATCTCTTTGTCTTTGGGCACTTTAGTGGTGTCATTAAGGCTTGAAATTACAAATTCTAAATTGTTGTTCTTCTTTTCCTGGTTTTTTTTTCACACATCAACGGTGTCAGTACAGGTCTCAATTGTGCAATAACAACCAATTGGATCCGTGCATTCACCCTAATTGTAAGGTCAACATAAACGAATTAAGTGTAAAAGAAACAACAATAAGAATGTATGATAGGCAAATGATGCTGGTCATACCAGCCTAAGATATAGGTAATAGTACAGGGAACATAAAAGTGAAAGGTTGTCTCTCCTTGGCTGACAAATGGAACCACTGAAGTGTAAATTTATTTATATAACTGATCAAATCACACAAAAGGATTAAGAAAGATACATTTAGCATCCGGTTAAAATGCGTTACTTATGCAGGCGTAAGTACTACAGTAAAAGAACTGCTATTTCCACAAATACAATAACATGCTACTTACCGTTATCGATTGTAACGGAACCCTTGTTACAATCCCTTGAAACTAACCAGTAACTGAACCTCTGAAACTTTCCATTATCAATAGTTAATGAATTTTATTCCTAGAATAATAATTCTTCCTAAAATAATTATTTTCCATGTCTTTTTTTATTTGATAAGAATTAAATTTTATTTTGCTTTATTTCTTTAATTTGTGGTTTAATTAAAGTATGTCATCTATATTTTAGTGCTACAATTTTCCATTAAAGCCAATGCCTTGTCTTCCTTTTTTCCTATGTATTGTTCAGTTTCTCGACAAGTGTTTGTGGCTGCTAATTCTCCTATGCTTGGAGGCAAGTATTTTTGCACACAAGGTTTAAAATTGCGCAATTAGGTATTGAGTTGTTTTTTGAGGCGTAAGCCTCAAAATCAAAAAATTGTGTTTAGTCAAAATAAATGTTAAAAGTTATTTTTTATATAATACCCAAATAATATGTTAAAAAATGATATGTGACCTTTCTCAATTGAATTATAAAGTAATAGATTGACATGCATATGAAATAAAAAATTGCACAAGACACGTAAAGTGGAAAGTGATAAATTAAATGAAATAAAATTAAAATTCAAATATTATAAAAGAAAAATAATATTGAATATATAAATGACATAAAAGTATCATATAATATCAAGTTTAACTCCAAATTCCTTCTTTCTCGGTTTCCTACTCATCCACATTAAATACCTCAAAAAATTGAAATAGATGACAAAAATATAGATTTCATTTGCACTGTAATCACTAAGGAGGTTTTTATTTGAGTTATCATCTTTAATAATAAATTGGTCTCTCCCCTCTCTCATCCTATGAAGTTCAATGTCTCCCAATTTGCTTCTTTGTTTATTTCAATCATCTTTCTCTTTCATAAATATTTTTACTCTTAAAATTTTAGAGGAAGTGGTGGTGGTGTGTGAGTTTCAAGTGATCCCTGGCAGCTACGATGATGTTGACTATGGAGAAAACGAAGGGCTGGAGGTCAAGGCAATCGAGAGGAAGTTGCTACAGCTTGGGTGTGCATTAAAGCTTGATTTTTTCTAGGCTTTAATTTAGGATTTAGGTAAGTTTTAATAAAAATATATATAAATAAGGTGGGGCGTAAGCCTCAAGTCAGCGATGTGTAACGTGCCTCAAGGTGGGCCTCAGCCAAGCTGAGCCGCAAGCCTCATAAAAAAAGTTTGAGGCATAAGCCTCGAGGCTTTTTTTCACTAGAATTGCACTGAGGCGGGCCTCAAGGCGAGTCTCATATTGCGCAATTTTAAACAATGTTTGCACATAATCACTTTATTGTTCGGTGGAGACCTTCCTCTTCTTTTTTGTTATTTTTCATTTTCTCAGTTGAGGCATGATGCCCTGTTTAGGTTAGGTTTGATATGAGGCAATTTGTTTTGTTGAGTTTTTTTTAATATGTTATCAAAGCTTGGTGATTGTGCAACAAGTCTTCAATTTAACTTTTGCCTTCTATATCCAATAGTATGTTTATGTTCAAAATTGTGGATTCTATTTGGGACTACAAATTGTGATCATGGCATTTGAATCTTCCATCACATTGCGCCAAAATACTCCAAAAGTAGAACAACAACTACATTGAATGGAAGGATTGCATTAATAATACTAATCGATTAATACTTATGGGTAATAATTGATGGCCTAGAGACTATCATGTTGATGGATTGTCCCAATAATGTGGAAACAAGGAGGAAGTCAAAAATCAAAATTAATAACAATATGCTTACAGGCTTAAGTCGCTATGGATGAGGAGCACCATATGAAAATTCAAGAAATTGAGAAACCCAAGAAGGTGTGGGATCTCTTCTTAGCTTTTCATTCAAGAACAATTGAGGAGTAGAACCAATTTTCAGAGAATGAGATTGCATCATTGAAGAAAAATAATATAATTCACTCTCTTATTTTTATTAAAACTAGGATAATAATTAATGAGATTAGATTTCTAGCTCTAATTTTTCAATATGATGAAAATGAGCATCTCAAAGGTTTGGTTGATGCTTTGAATCAAGAATGTCACACACAAATGTCTACTTTGGTTGGCTTGGCTACACCAAGAAGTTTGAATTTGTTGGAGAAATTACTTATTAATCAAGAAGCCTTAAACTCTCAAATGGCTATTTAAGTTTCATAGCTTATGCTAATTTTAGAAAAATGCCCTCTAATTGTAGAAGCCTTGTTTTCTTAACTAGTTGATAATGTGGAGAAAGCACTCGTTGTTCGAGTCAAAAAAAATTTCTCATGCCTTACGATTAACGTATTTTTCCTAAAAGAAAATAAGACTAAAAATGAAAACAGCAAGTTCGATCACATTTTGATTGTTGCTTTCTTGTTGCACTGCAACATGTGATTCATATCAATAAATATATCTGCATTTATAGTCATATATATGTTTAGTGTTATTATAAGTCGCAACAACTGGTATGATTCAATGTTTGTGCTATTTTATTAGATCAAATCATGTTTGGATGTACTATATAAATGAACCAATTTGCTTAATATTATGGTCACATTATGAAATTAATATAGCGCAGTGCTTAAATTTTGCAAAGAAAAGTAATTAAGTGGGATGCAATTAATTAATAATTTAACTTAGTGAATAAATTCTTGAATGCCCTTTATTTAGGTGAGCTTATTTATAGGGCTTAAATTGACATCTCATTAAATCCCCAATAGTATGCAGCCTAGTGTAGGCCCAAATACCTTATATCAGCATATATAAAGTGATTATTACAAGGTCCCTCTCCCATCCTTGGTTAAGCATATTTTTTCTTTCCATTAAGGTTGTCATGAGAAATTGCAGAAGGGGGAAGAAGATAACCATTCATTTCTTGCAAAGTACATGGATCATCAGCTATGCGTTGAGGGCTATTCCTTAATATTCTACAAAATTGGGTATAAATTCATGCATTCTTGATGATTTTCAATTGAAATAAAATTAATATGCAATTGACAAATTACCTAAAAGTTTTCATGTATTTTTTCGTGCTTCTATTTTCATCTAAAGCCCATGTCCATTCCTAATTTTTGGCATGCACTGTTGAGTTCTTATTTACCTTCATCTCAAGTGTTTGCGGCTGCTAGTATTAATATGCCATGTAGGCATTTTTCCACATCTTCTTTGTTCACTTCGCTCACCCATGTTTGGCTCTTCACATGAAACAGAGCATCGGTAATTGCCTTTCTGCTTATCAGAGACTATTGCCCTCAGCTGTTTATTTTTTATTTCATTCGCCCAGGCGCAGTGCTCTGCTTGGGCTAGTTTTGATCCTGGAAAACTCGTTTTTTTTTTTCTAGTTCTTTTCCATTCAGCAACTTATTCACGATACTAAATTTGATGACGAAGAAGAACTTATGTCTTTATTTTTTCACTCATTTCCAGCAGATCATGCAGAAAGCTTAATGTTACAATAAACAAAAAAGAGCATAGATATGGTCTTCGTATTAAACATAATTCCGCACAAAAGGAATAGTAGAAAGAAGAGAGGGTAAGCGGACCTGGTCGACGCGCTCCTGTTCCTCAGAAGTGGCCTCGGCGCCGCGATCGAGCTCCGCGATGGCCTTCAACAGTTCCAGCTTGACATCCTCCCGACTCTTGTTTTTAGGAGAGGAGGGTAAAAAGGAAACCCTAGTTCTCCACTTCACCGTCCCCGGTTCAGCTAGCTCTCTAACATATTTTACCGCCAAGAGATTGCCGGTGTTATGGAGGTTCCATGGAGGGGGGAAGTGACGGAAAAAAGAGATGGGAGAGGATAGCCGGTAAAGGTCTGTGTGAGACTTGAGTTGAGAGGGAAAGGTGGTCACCGGTAGTTGGCAAGCGGGCACCATGGTCCTGAAGAGTGAAGATGGTGGAAAAATTGGAGTACGGATAGCCCGCGTGGAACTTGCTAATGGTTGGTATCAGCAGCTTTTTTTTTTCATCTTCGTAGACGGATTTAGGATTTTAGGTTTCATTTTGGCCTATTGATTGAAAGTTTAGGTTTTCAATTAAGAGATTTAGGGTTCGAATCTTTATGTATGCGTTGTGTGTGTGAATTTGTCTTAAAGGACCTAAATATCCCAAAAAGGGTTTCATTTGTTACAGTTTTTTAAAGAATTTTTTATATGTTACTTTAGTATAAATATTTTGGGGGATTTACATACATGCCACTTTATTATATTTATAATACATATTTAACACCCAAAAGTTAAATATTACATTACTGCCACCCAAATACTAATTTTCCAACAAAAATATCATTCCGTGTTCACTCCGTCTCTTCCTTCCACATTCCGACCATTGTCCGCCTCTTCGCCGATGGCCATCGCTTCCCTCTTCCTGCATTAGCTATTCTTCCACGTGCTTCTCTTCCTGACCATCGACCATCAATAGGCTTCCGCCCTTTCATTGACTGCTGCTGGATCTCTTCCCTACCACCGACTGTCACTAGACCTCTGCCCATTTGTTAGATGCCATTGGATCTCTTACCAACAACTGGCTGTCGCTAGATTTTGGCTCGTTCGTTGGTTGCCGCTGGATTTCTTCCAAGATTAGTAGGGGTGCTTGATTTTTTTTTATAATCCTAATTATGATAGAATGAGAGAGAGTATACACAATAAACCCTCATCATTAGTTCTATGCACCTGATTGGGATAAATAACTCCTTATAAAAAAATGAGTTAGAAAGAACTAGTAAACAATTTTTATATGCAAAAACCTTAAGGCACAAGCATTATTAAAAAAATACGTATATATTTTATCAATGATCCGTGAAAAAGAAATTTGCCTGTGAATACCTTGGTACCCCTTAAACTCAACATATTTTTACCCTCTCCAAGGAACTCAACACTTCTCTTTCCCAGATTTGAAATGACCTCATAAGCCAATTATCATAATAGTACTCATATGTAATTACAACTGGGTTGAGGCATTTTCTTTGTTGTATATCTCTCGTAATGCACCATGTTTCTCTTAAGCCCTTTTAGTGTCATTTCCCAAGATATCCTACCCATGGCTATATAAAAAAACGCACTATAATATTCAATCATGTTAATCATTTCAATGAAGGCAACATTGTGTTTTTTTTAATTGGGGAGGATACAACTTATAAAGATGAACAATACAAGTTTTCATATATCATTTTTGTTAGTAGACTATTTGAATGCATTTTTTATTTGTGTTCTTAAAAATATTTTACCCACCAAAATAGCTTTTGAAAACCATCCTACCTTTATCTTCATCTTAAACTAATCATCAATTGGAAACTCTTCAAAATTCAACCCAATCCTAATGCAAACTCTATAATCTCGAAAGTAAAATTCTCCCTTCATTGTTGGGCACAAAGGAATAATCATAATTTTCATCATTATCAACCATCCTTAATAATGATTGATGAATGATGACACATGGGAATCATAGTTTAGGTGCTTTGAAGAAGTGCTCAAAGGGAAATCCCTAAAAATATGCAATGAGAACATTAGACTTAATTTTCTTAAGCAATTTCTTTATAATCCACATCTTTATATGTGACCCGAATATTATAATCTCAACAGACGTAGTTAAATAAGATATTTGCATACATAATACAACTAATACGTGCAAATTCATAAAAAAGTGACATGGCCAAACAATTCATATTCGAATTACTAAACAATATTATATTAAGATTGAACCATCATAATTGATCAATTTGAAGAGTTTTCGCAATATTTTTGACACACAAATTAACAATCTTAGAATCAACATCAATACATCGTAACCTTATTCAAACAATAGTCAAATCTTCTTTGGCACATTGTGGGAGAGAGAGAGAGAGAACGACGCATGTCTCTGCAAAATGGCTGCTTGCTCCATGTTCTATGATTTATGGAGGATAAATTTGACTTTATATAATTTGCAATACCTAAATTTGAAAAAGATATAATTGTCATTTTCTAAAGATAAATATGTTAAAAGATATAATTATGACATATATTTTGTTAATCTTAGATATTACAAGTTATGCAACTCTTCTTGGTTGAGAGTTTGACTCTCAATTAAGAGTTTTTGAGTTCGAGCCTAGCATATGTGTTGTGTGTGTTTGGACAGTGCATCTAATTTTTATAAAAATAAAAAAAGAATATTTACATACATATCATGTTATACTATTCTATTTACATATTTAACATCTAAAATTTTAATATTACATACATACCACCTTTAGTTCATTTTTATATCAAATATGATTGGTAAGAAAGAAATATAAGTGATATATTTGATATTAAAATAATATAGGATGATATATGTAATATTAAAATTTTAAATATTAGATATGTAAATATGATGTTATAAAATAGTATATATGCAATTTTTCTAATAAAAAATTAAGATTTATATAATGTCAGCTTTACCCTTTTGATAAATCTGCGAACACGCCACAGCCTGAGCAGACGTGCGACTTTCTCTCTCCCTTCTCCCCCTCGCTGCCTTTCTCCGTTCGGCTCGCAGACGTCATTGGCCGCTTCTTCACGAGGCTGATTCCCTCTGCGACCAAACCTCTATAGAGTTTTCTTTCCTTGGTTCCCAGACGGGGAAGAGAAGACAAGATAGATGGTAGGGCACGGGCATCAGATTCCGCTTGAGGTGGTGGGAACGATGATAGAGATGGCCGACGTTGCTTGGAATGCAATCGAGCATCGCAGGGAGCGGAATGTTGTTCTCAAGGTCGAAGAGGAAGCCGCCCGGATCCGCTCCGAGAACGAGCGCCTTAAGACCCTCCTTGCCGAGAATATTTCTGTCCTACAAGGCATCTCACAGGCTTCTTCTCTGGCCAAAGACTGCCCTGCTGATGTGAGCTTATTTCACTTACTTATCCTTCGCTGCCTCTCGTTGTTTGATTCGCACTCTCTTGGTTTATGGTTTGTTGAATTGAATTTGTGACGTGGGGGGAAAATGAGGGCTTAGGAAGGAAGAATTAATTAATTGTTTATTTATGAACATGAGCTGTTGTTAGCTTGCGTACGATGGCAATAAAATTAGCTTCCCCGCTTCTAAAAATGTTTGCGGATGATTAGTGGTTGAGAATTAATGACTGATCATATGCCCATTATAAATGACCTTTGGAGTTCTTTGAGTACTTGATCTTGCTCAGTTATTGCAGCCATGCTAGCAGTTTAACCATTTTGGTGACTTTTGAGGGATTTTAGATTTTATGTAACAACAAATTTATTCACTTCCTTTGCCCGAAGAATTGAGAGGCTTTTCCAAAGTCAATGCGTTGCAAACAGATGTATTTGAAACTTAACTGCTTGCTGGTGAAAGAAGCAACCTTGCCATGTTTATCCGCAGTATAGAAATTCAAACTTTTACGGACAGAACTGTGCAAAGATCAATGTATCTGATATGCATGCACGATTTTACATCTATTGGTTTTGTTTGCCATACATAATGCAATTGCATGCCTGATATCAACGCTTTACATAGATTCATGTGTAGACACAGTGATTGACAAATGCGATCTCCCATGATTCTACGTTTCTCGATGGATCTGGTTCCATTGTATTTCCAATATATACAGATGTACTAGATAACATACATCTTTTGGCCTCAACAACAACATCAAGCCTTTATCCGACTATGTGGGGTTGGCTTGGCTACATGAATTCTTTTTCTCCATTGTGTCCTGTTAAGAGTCAAATTCTCATTTAAATCTAATAAAGAAAGGTCAACATGATGGAAATCTTCATTTTTATTTTACTAGGAAAATCACATTAGACATTAATTTTGTGCAGTAATTTAATTTTTTTAGTTGGTTTATAATTTTGTTTTTGCATACATGCCTATGATGATGGTGGAAAAGAGTTATATTCTCCAAGAAAGTTTTTATTTTATCTCCTAGCTTTAGATTATTTATGTGATTGGCATAATTCAATATATGTTAATTTTGACAAAAATTGAAGAGACATGGTTGTTTGGTGTGTTGGGAGATTAGTTGGCTTTACTAGCTTCTAGGAGTTATAAAAAAAGGAAAAAAAGAAGAAGAAGTTTGGTGCAGTTTTGAGTTGAGGCGATGTGACTTGGGGTATTCCTTATTGTGGTTTTCCTGCCTCTTTAATTTGTAAGCGGCATTTTTTCACATGAGATTTGTAGCCTATCGTAGCCAGTTGCTGTGGCAGGTACATTAGTAGTTAACTTGTTACTCTAGCATCCTCTTTTGTTTGGATTTCCTTTTAGATTTCCTTTGGCAATGGGTGGGAGTATTAGTTTAGTTGAATTGCAGATTTACAATTAGAGTTAGTTATGTTAAATTAATTTAAATTCAAATTGAGATTAATTCTATGTCAACCTTAACAACTAACATAGGTTATGAGAAGTATAAAAATATAGGTTTTGAGGCATTTAAGTAAAAACTTTTGAGTGTAGTACAAGTCTGATTACCTAATTGCAGGCGAAGTCATATCCTTGTATCAGCGTGAGGCCTAATTTTTATTCCTCATTTATTTTCTTACATAACTTGTTATTTACCATTATGGTGGTCTTGATTTTGATAAAAATTATGCGTTTAACATATGATTTTCTTGAAATGAATTTGTTTTCTCATTGAATTTATTTGTTTTCAAACTCTTGCTGAAGCTTTTGAATATTCATGATCATTGCATAATCAATTAGGCTTAAATTCTATTATCACATATTTTCATTTTAGAGAAAGTCGTTGGCATAACTGATAACTTTTGATATGCGAGTCCTCAAATTTTCTTTGTATGAAAGCAGAAGTCTTACATCACAAATTTTTCATATGATTTATTTAAATAATATATATGTTAAATCATTTACTCTAAACAAATAGATAAATTGACAGATTTTTTTTGAATTTGTGAACTTACAAAGCATTTCAGCTATTCATGAATTACTTCTTCTTTATCCTTATTAAATTGTTCTTCTAATACATCTATTTTTTTTTTCATATCATAAAAAATAATGCATGATAAATAAATTTTCTTTCTATTATAATTTTATAAAGATTAATAAACTTGAAAGTAATGCAATTAATTTAATTCAACTTATTTTTAAGAATGGTGTGCCCTCCACAATTAAGAAGCACATATACTTCTGCAATTTTTTATTCCTCTTGTATCAACTATCTAATGCGGACTTTATGATGCAAATGCTTCCAAGGGATTTTGAAAATCGAAAAACATTTCATGTTACAAGGGTTTCATTGCTATTATCATTCGTCGACGCTTGAGTCCACTTAAATGCAATTCCATCTTTTTAATAAATAGAGCAAAATGTGTACATCTCTTCATCCCAGCATATTGAAAATTTAATTTTATTTAAATTTTTTACTCAATTTTTAAGGTTTCCTACACCTATAATTATAAAAATAGGTAATTAAAAGCATGACATTGATTGTAATAATATGAATTCAAGATATGTGATGGACCGGTTCACCCGGTCCATCCTAGACCCGTGCGGGTCTATGGGAGGCGGGCGGACCGGCTGCACAAAAAGGGGCCCACCCACTTAAGTGGGGGTAATTTGGGGATGTGAGGGACTTTTGGATTGTATGAAGGGGGCCATTAGGTTTTGGTTGGGGGCATTATGAAAAGTGTATTCTCTTTCTAGTTTTCTTCTTCTAGTTTCTTCTTGTTCTTTTCTAGGGTTTTCTTGTGGGAGATCTTGTCCTTCTCGAAGTGGACAAACTTATCTTGTTTTCTCTTGGCTTTCTAATGCAAAGGTTCTTGCTTTTCATCTCAACCCTCTTGTGATTGTTTCTCTTTGCTTTTGGTGCAGAAATTCCTCATTCTTGGGGGAAATTAGGGCAAAACCGAAATTGTGGAACCCTAGGGCATATCAATATGTTTTTGACAGTTTGTTTAAAAGATATACATTTTAAATGAATGCATTTATTTATGTTAAATAATTTCACGTACTCTCGTCACATATACCATGTGAATAGATAAGCGTTCCATTGTGTTGAAAAATGATGTTGGAAATATTTTTGCCAACTTACATATTGTTACCATCTTGACCTCGTACAATAATTTCATTTATTTATTATTTATGATTGTTGCACATATGTTTTGAAAGAAATAACTTATTTATGTCAATACATCTCAAACTATCTTAGGAATTTGACTTTGAAATGCAGCAAACAATTACAATTGCATAAATATAAGAAAATCTCATATTTTCATTCCATTTAAAATTTAATTTTCCATATCTACAAATTGTCTTATATTTAATGAATAACCATTTGAAAATTTTAATGTTTTCATCCATAAATAGATCTCTTTCCCTTGTAAAAGCATATTATACCCTTGGTTTCTCCATGTCACCAACAATTTTTTGTAAAGAAGGTGACTTCAATATTTTTAAAGTTTCGTCAAATATTGATTTTATCTTTTAATTTTTTTAGAAAAATCTATCATATTATTGATGATATTTTTAAAGATATTTACCTTGATATGCATCATATTAAGATTGTGCTATATCATATTAGTTTGCAAATGTTTTACAATAACATTATCAAGCCTTCATCTCTCTACATGGAGTTGAGTATATGAATCATTTTTATCCATTGTCATTTTAAGAGTCAAATTCTCATTTATATCTAATTAAAAAAGCCATTTCGAATATTTTCTAACTAAGTCTTTTTAGGTTACATCTACATTTCTTAACGTAGGCCGGATCTTATACATCTACTATTCTAATCGGATCATCTAATGTGATTCTCTCTAATCTTATTTGCAATTGGAGCTACTCCAACTTTTTCATATATATACTTGTTTTGTGTAAAGCCACCCATCAACTTGAGCATTCTCATCTCTGCAAAATTAACTTAATTTTATGCTTCTGTTTTAATAGCCAACATTTTGTGTTATAAAACAATGCAGGTATCACTATCATCTTATAAAAATTTTCCCTTTAAATTTGAGGGGTACTTTTCTAAGCCCGATGCATTCCTCCATTTCCCAACTTGAATTCTACTAAAAAAATTATTTCCATCTAAAAAGCAATAGCACACAAGTGCAATGTTATGTGTAACACACATAAACCCACTGAAGTACACTTGTTCTTTGACTGTGAAGGAGATGCAGAGCATGCAGTTCATGCGCTCTGTAAAGTAATGATAAAGCACTGCTTTGTCATTTTGATTGTGCTTATGATATGAGCCTGCCTTTTTGCATAGTAACGTGAAACTTTTGCCCACACATCTGTGTACTTTTAGCAACATTGAGTGGTTGCTAGCCATTAACCAGTTGGCCCCCCTCTCTCTGTACCAAGAAAACTTAGTTCTCTCTCTCTATCTCTCACTCTTTCGCTCCCCCTCCCCTCATGCCAACCAACTCAATTTAGTTTGGGTGCTCAGGGTTGTTGCCAGCACCCAAATCTGCTTTTTGGTTCCATCTTCGACCTGTTAGTGCTTTGATGAATTTTTGTTACCAGACAAGGATGAAGACAATCGAAATAAAAATAAATGGTAGTTCTTACAAGGGACATCTGTGAATATATAAAGTAATTGGGAAGACATTTGAAAACCCATGGTGGCAGAATCTGAATAATGCTTTTTTTTTTTTAATTTTAAGTGGACATATATTAAATTGCCTACCTCACGTAGTGGGATAAAGGCTTGATGATATTGTTGTTGTTGTATATATTAAAGCGCCCCTTCATATTGCAAATCCAAATGTACCCAACAATCTTTATGCTTTTAATCCACTCGTGCTTCGTTTTGGTGTTGATGGTTTGGCTTTATTTGTAATATTTAACAAAGTTATTCAAGAGCTAAGTAAGGATGTGTTTTTAGAGTAGTGGCTGCGTAAAAGCTGAATTATAAGTTGTTGAGCTGTCACAACTAAGAATATTCATTCACTTTCTTTTGCTCATAATATGATGATTTCTAATCTTGGTTACTTCTCAATTACAGCTGTATACACGACTTTTAGCTGTGGTGGACACTCAAAACTTCTTGGCCAAACTCGAGTCACTTAATCAGGAACTAGAATCTAGGCCAGATGGGAATTTGCTTTGTACTAAAGGTTCAGTTTATTTTTTATAATATCTCAATCTGTTGTTTCAGTGAGTAATTATGATTGCTTTATGTTTTTCCATCTTTTCTTTTACATGAAAGTTCAAGTTTTCTATGTTTTTTTTTTTCAAATCCTTTTCAGATCAAGATGTTTTAATTAATGGTGATGAAGGCAATCCCAATCGGTGGGTATTGGTTAAACATGATATGGATCCGGACCATATGGAGGAAGCCAGTGGAATTGACGATGAAAATTATATTGTGATTAGTGAAGAGAATGTGGTTGATGGTATTGCCAATTTCATAGGCAGATGCATCCTTGAAAACCCAAAATCTAAGGTATGATAATGTTTTAATTACGTTTCTTACATTGGATATGTATTGGTGTATGATCGCTTGCTATCTTGAAATTGCAGATATTATCATCGCAAGAACTACAGAAAGGTAACTATATTCTTGACACTGTTCTTGAGTTATTAGCATTCAACTTTATTTCAGAGCCATCTAAATCAAATGATAGACTGCTCCGTTGTTTCGCCAGCTCTACAATCCTTACAGAACGATAATTGTAAGATTAATTGGCTACCAGTTTGAGGGTTAACCTTAAATTAATGACTTATCAATCTTTTTGCTGCACTAATTCCATCATATGATTTTTTGTTTTGTTTGTATAAACTAATCAGAAGAATGACGCTTGGAATATTGATTATATTTTAGCTGTAGGTTATATCTAAGAAATGCCTAGTCGGTCAAGGCTCTTTTTCTTGAACTTTCATATTTTATTTTGTTGTTGAAATTTTGTTGATTCCTGATTCTACTATATGGTAATCTGAAATGGGGTATTCAGTATTTTCTTCGATTCTTAGTACAAAAGTATGTGTGAACTTCTCCTTTGTCATGCTGCCATACAATTTGGATCAGTCCCAGGCTATTTAAAATAGCTAATTTAGTCTTTTGATTGTGGGCTTAGTGTTGGGGATAAGTGCAATTTTGAAAGCAATGAAGAATATGAGGACTTGACAAATGTATGCAAGGGAACACGAGAAAAAAAAAAATATGTTATTCGATAAAGTTTGATGAAGTTCACCATGTTTACAACACGGAAATATGTGTGTTCAACTTGATCAGAAATAAATTCTTGATATAAATTATTTACTTATCCAAATATTTTTCTTACATTTTTCTCAACATTAATTTCTCCCCCTCTATCTTTTAGGCTTCTTTTGGGACGGCTTTTCGTTGCATCTAAAAATAGATTTTTAATTAAAAAAATTTAATTTTTGTACTAAAAAGCTGTTTTAAGCTGCAGTAAGAAAGTCATCCCAAATGAAGCCTTAGTCCCTTTCAAAACTCGGGCATGATTCTGCCCTCAGCTATGCTCATCATATATAGAGGTAAGTCTATTTCTTCCTATGTCGGACTACCTCATCAGTCATCAACCCCTTTGATAGTCTCCTATTTCCTCTAAATATATCCTCTAGCTTCTAACTATTGAACTTGGCTCTTCAGTACTCTTTTGTCTTCCATTAAAGAAATTTCTCAGTATAACACCGACTAAGATTTTTTTCCAGGTTCTGATCACTCCATTGACCACCTATCTAGTCTCTCTCTCTACACTTTGTTGAATGAAGAAGAATAAGAAATGCCGTTCAAGTCCATTCAACCTTCTCCTTATATAATATTTAGAGGTGGGAGATAACAAACTTATAAAGATTAGATAGATGGCATTAAGTTTTAGGTAACATATATGTAGATGTTAAGTAGAATGTTTGAGGATGTATGAAAAATATATATAACAAATGCATATGTTGACCGTGCAATGAAATTTGGCGATAAAATTATCTCTGTCTCAACAATCTTCCACTTGCAGTTTAAATTTTCGATGCATTGCTTTGAGAGAGTCACCTTTGTGCAACATTCTCTCTATCATTCATCTATGAGTGTTAATTGAGGCTTTGTAATATCTCTTCTTCTTCTTTCTGCAAAATAGTTTATGATGGTTTGATGTTATTGATGACACTTATGCTGTTTGATTGACAGAAGGGAGACTTGTATAACTTGGTTTAGAGAGAAAGAGGGATTTTATAAAATCGTTATCTTTCTACTAGTATTTTCTGTTTATACAGAGTATTTTATATTTATGCTACTAAAAAGAAAATTCATTAGTTGATAAAAAAATAGTGGATATTTTATATAAGGCACTTCTTTTATAAAAGACATTTATTTTTAAAAACTAAATAAAACAGCCCTTGATTACATTTTTTATCACATAATTAACCAAAAGAAGTTAGGTTATGTTGAGTCCAAATAAGCCAGGTGATGATATGATCAAATAAGACGTGATGAGATGTTAGTTCTAACGATGAGTTGGGGTAATGTATCAACTATCTGGGATAGAAAAATGATGGCTGTCATGGAACAGAACAGCTAGGATAGCCTGCTTCTTCTTTTGATGTATTTTTACTTCTCTTATCAGTTATCACTGATAGTGCTTCAATTTGTTGAGCCTACCTCTTTGCAGCGTCTCACGCAGGCCTCTTTTGTATTATGCCCTGATAGGCTAATCTTGCACCATTCCTACTAGACTTTCGTTATATATATATGATTCTACTCCTGCTCTGTTTTCACTTCTGCATCCATTCTTAAAACTCCACATGATGCTTTATTTGTTTCTTTATTCATCGTTCTGAGTTTCACGGAATTCCTCCCATGTGAGACTAAGACTTCGATTGAGACTAAGACTTCGATTGGGATAGCTTTCTTGATGTTTTTTAAAGCTGTTTGTTAATACAAAAAATTTTTAAATTAGAAATTTTTGTATTATAAAGCTGCTTTAGAAAATAGCAAAACAGCTATCCCAAATGGAATCTAAATCATATTTTCTACGGATTGCTATTGTTCTAGTTATTCTTCTTATTGTCTGTTTTAGTTAATTTCTGCATCTCTTGCTGCATTGTATTTATGTCTCAGAACGTAAGTCTCTGCTTAAATGTTCGGCTACTGGTATGAGTTGTGTTCGGCAATAATAACGCATAATTATGTGGGATTGAGTTCAACTAAGATGCAGCGCCCTTTGTGGTTTTGAACAGTTTAAGCTATGATTGAAACCATTCTTGTTGGTTTCCTTCCATCTTTTTTTTTTTTTGTTTATTTTATTAGTTTGTTTGTCAGTTTTCAATAGGATCTGCTAATAAAATTATCAAATTTTATAATATATGATTTGAACTTTTGTTTGAGCTTTGAGTTAGCCCGTATTTTTCTTTAGTAATGTAGACGCTAATTCTGACAATGCAGCTGTCACTAAGGCTTTGGGTGACATCAGAAGCAGGGGGAAGTTCAAAAGCGTTTGGGAAGCTGGAAAAATCATTTATACTATGTCACTCTGGGGAATTTTTCTTGCAGGGTGAGATAACCTTCCATGTTTTTTTGCTTCATCTCGTAAATTTAATTTTGGACCATGTGCCTCTTCTCCGTTCCATAAACTTACCATAAAAACATGATAAATGGGTACGGTTTCAAACAGGCGCTGGTTAACTCTGACATTCATGCCTTCTTTTTTTCTAAATTCTTATTTCTGATCCACATTATCAGTTGACACAAGGCATTAACTGCTTGGGTCCTGCCATTTCTATATGCTATATAGTCCATCTTATGCCGTTCTTGTGTTCTGATGCTGCTGGTTTGCATGATTTGACCTTTGAGACCACTAATGCTCTAAGGTTTTATTTAGGATGGTTTTTTTTATTGTTTTTTGAAATAATTTTACAGTACAAAAATTTAAATTTGTGTACTAAAAAAATACTTTAAGAAGCAATAAAAAAACGGTCCCAAACGAAACATAAATTTTCATTGTTCATATTAAATGATGACTTAGTTTTTATGTTTTTCCCTGTATTTCTCACCATCTTTAGCGCTGTGCTTAATCTTTTAGATTTCATTAAAGAAGGTCCTTTGCTTTACTATAGTAGTTTTTTTTTTGTCTTTTTGGTGAGCTTTAGTGGCTTAATCAATAGAGTGGATCAAATTAAGACGACGACTTGATCAATATGAAGGTTCTCAGCTAGCGACCCAGCTTAACTTACCGACCATATTATTAAACCCTAGATTTTAGCTTTGAACTTTTGAGATCTTTGGAATAGATAGCGTGTAATCATCTTATATTAGAAGGTATGCCTAACCTGTCTAAATTGCTATGGAAAAAGGTTGAGGGTTGACGTACTTAGCTTTACTTTTACATTGCAGAAGGCTAACCTCAAAATATTGGAGTTTTATTTTCTCTTATTGTAATCAAGGTTCATTTTGTACCGAAAAGGTTGGAGTAGCTCTAGTGGAAGGATTAGAGAGAGTTGTCTTAGATGATTTGGTCACATAAAACGGTTGCTTTCCGATTACCTATTAGGAAAGTAGATGTATTAGATTTGACTTATATTAAGAAAGACAAATGACATTTCTTTATTAGATTTAGATGAGAATTTGACCCTTAATAGGGAGAAATTATTCTGTGCGGACGCCGAACGCAGCTCTACATCTGGAGACCAACCAAAATGAGCCACGTCAGCAATACCAAGCGGTACCGAGCCGGGGTACCGACGTGACTCATTCTGGTTGATCTCCGGACGGCATTCGGCGTCCGCAAAGAATAATTTCTCCTTAATATGATATAATATAGAAAAAATGGCTCATGTAGCCGACCCCGCATAGTGGGATAAAAGTTTCTTCTTCTCCTTGTTGTTGTAATCAAGGTTCATTTTGTCTGAACTCTTTTTGTTTTATGTGGTTGGAGAATGAATGCCTTCTTGTTACCACTGAGATCTAATATCTATACTTGTTGCAGCTTGTATAGACACCGGGCTATAGTGAAAGCTGCTGCCAAAGGTGCTTCTTCATCCGCCAAATTTATTCTCAAGGCTCTTTAATTTCTAGCATTTCTTCTAGTTCTACGACAATCAGTAAATGTTGTGCTGTACATAAACTAGCAATCCAAAAAAAAAAAAAAACTTCGATTGAGAGTTTGAACCTGTAATGTTCCTCACAATGATTTCATTGTTTGTTCTACCCTTCATATGCTAAGGGTGGATTCTGATGGTAATAGTGCCACAATGGTATTAAGAAGTCTGAAACATGTCCTGTACAAATTAATTTTATTTGCTTAGTTGTCCCAACAAAAGCAATAAATGTATATTCAAGCATGCACTAGATGTACCCTTGCGGTGTAAGAGATGATATAAATACTTAAATAGCAAACAATAATATTTTATTATTAGCTATATTAGAAGAACTTTTAATTTTAAATTCTTAATAATTTATAATATATTTGTGGCCTGCCTAAATATATCAAATTTTAAATACTTCAAAATTATACTCTATATTTCTTTTACTTCAAACTAAATATTAATATATTCAAAAGTGCTGCATTTGACATACTTAACATCTATTTTACTTTAAATTAAATAGTTTCCAAAATTAAAGATATATATATATATATATAATTACTTTTTATACAACATAAGAAAATTATCTTGATCATGCACGAATCTTGAGGCAAAATTGAGTTGGAAACTTCAACAATTAAATCAGAGACCATCTGAATTCTGATCTCAGCATACTTATATTCGAACTGAGCGTCTCGGAAACTCGAACCCAACGACACCAAAATCGACTCAATCCGAGCCCAAATGGGTCCAAATCAAAGACTCGAAGCACTTTTGGAAGGATCAAATCACAATTTGTGTTACCAAACGATCTCTAATCATGATATGCTTATAATCGAATCGAGCGGCTTGACGAGACAAATCCAACGAGCCCAAGATCATCAAATTCTGATATCATTAAGACAGTTAAAGGTCCATTGAACGGTACATGATTATATGAATCAAGATCGGCCATCCATCCAAACCACTTCAAATTTATCCTTGATCTTCCAATTATTTACAAGCCATGCCACTCAAGAATTCTATAAATAGAACCTCATTTCCTCTTGAAAAAGGGGAATAGCCAAGAGAAAAGAAGGAAGAGGAGGAAGAAAGCTCCAGCCGCCTAGCTTATCCTCGACCACCTCTGGAGTTCTGCCGACCAATGCCGGGGTTCTGCAGCACCACTGCTAAGTTCTGCCGCACCATCGCCGGAGTTATGTCGCACCACCTCCAAGTTTTGTCGAACCACCACCAGACCATTAAGGTCATCAAAGTGCCACCCAAAGCCGGAGTGCCCCCTGATGTTAAAGTGCCACTGTCGGACTACTACTTGATACCGGAGTGCTGCAGGACCACCACTTGGGGCCCAGACTTCTACCGGACCACCACCTGATGCCTATAGTTATGCCAACTATAGTTGTTTTGAACTTACTCACTAGACAACGGTCTTTCTGACCTCAGTCTCCTACCGACGACGGTCATTCCAACCTTCCTTACCATATAATAGTCTTTCTGGCCCCAATTTCTTATCAAATACAGTCTTTTTACCACTATCATCCGATTACGGTTCTTCCAACCTACGTCGCTCGTCACATGTGGTCCTGTCGCCCAAATGAACATATCAACATTGATTCTTCCATCTCCTAATGCACTCTATATGATGCAACTGTAATCGGATGACAGTTACTTCGAACTAAGGCCTCCAAGGAAGGGCCTCATTTGTAATCAACTACAAAGACTAGTGGATTAATTCAAACTAGGCTATGGCCAGTGGTTTTTCCCCATTTTAAGGGTTTCCACGTAAAAGCTCTGGCGTCTCTTATGAACGCTACACCCTCTCTATCTAATCTGCTTGTGTGCTGGATCTTCGTACAATGCTATGACATTATATTTTATATTTCTCTACCGGCCCGAATACTCCATGACGCAATAGTTTGGCGCCGTCTGTGGGAACGTGGTTCCCGATTGGGGGCAACTATTGCTCCAATCTCAAAAGATCACTCTTATCAACTTCCTGACATCAGTCATTGCTGTATCAATATCATAAGAATCAGATGCAGACTAGAGGACAACTTTGACTCCAACCGTGGTAAAAAAGATCCTCCGATGCTTTCATCATCAAGACGATATTTCAAAAAAATTCCAGCACATGCAAGGACACTTCCAATCAATTATATGCATAATATAGTTCATTGTTGGACTTTTAATCCTTGGACAAGGTCTTAATCTCGACCTCAAAAAGGCAGCAACGGTCTAAAGATAGATCATTCTTCACCTTTGATTCGGGATATATATGGCATTTGCTCCCTCCCAATCAAGGCAAAATCGATCATAGGGGGATTCGATTTGACCTCTTCAACACAGGTTAACATCATCGAGTATGGCTCTGACATACAACCTTGGATAGGTCTTACATCCTTGGTGGATTTTCTCGACCTCTTCCATACAGGTTAACGTCATCGAGCAGGGCTCTGACATACAACATCGGATAGGTCTTACATCCTTGGTGGATTATCTCGACCTCTTCCACACATGTTAACGTCGTCGAGCAGGGCTCTGACATACAATCTCGGATAGGTTTTACATCATTGACAGATTCTCTCGACCTCTTCCATACATGTTAACATCATCGAGCAGGGCTCTGACATACAACCTCGGATAGGTCTAACATCCTTAGTGGATTCTCTCGACCTCTTTCACACAGGTTAACGTCATCGAGCAGGGCTCTGACATACAACCTCAGATAGGTCTTACATCCTTGGTGGATTCTCTCGACCACTTCCAAACATGTTACCGTCATCGAGCAAATGCTATGACATACAATCTCAGATGGGTTATATATCTTTGACAAATTCTACGCTCTTTTGCCCGATCTCCAAATAACGTCGGCCTTCTACTCGGCCTCCATGTGACACCGACCTTGCGCCCGACTTCGGAGTGGCGTCGGCCTTTTGTCCGGCCTCCAAGTGACGTCGGTCTTCTGCCTGACTTCGAAGTGACGTCGGCCTTCTACTCGGCCTCCAAGTAGCGTCGGTCTTCTTCCCGACCTCCAAGTGATGTTAGCCTTCTACCTGGCCACCAAGTGTCGCCGATCTTTTGCCCGATCTCCAAATAACGTTGGCCTTCTGCTCGGCCTCCATGTGACGTCGGCCTTGCGCCCGACTTCGGAGTGACGTCGGCCTTTTACCCGGACTCTAAGTGACGTCGGTCTTCTGCCTGACTTCGGTGTGACGTCGGCCTTCTACTCGGCCCCCAAGTAGCGCCGGTCTTCTGCCCGGCCTCCAAGTGATGTTAGCCTTCTACTCGGCCTCCAAGTGACGTCGGTCTTCTGCTCGACCACCAAGTGACGTCGACCTTCTGCTCTGCCTCCGTGTGACGCCGGTATTGCACCTGACTTCGAAGTGATGTTGGCCTTCTACCCGACCTCCAAGTAGCGTCGGTCTTCTTCCCGACCTCCAAGTGATGTCGGCCTTCTGTCTGACCTCCAAGTGATGTTATCCTTCTACCCGGCCACCAAGTGTCGCCGGTCTTTTGCCCGATCTCCAAATAACGTCCGCCTTCTGCTCGGCCTCCATGTGACGCCGGCCTTGCGCCCGACTTCGGAGTGACGTCGGCCTTTTACCTGGCCTCCAAGTGACGTCAGTCTTCTGCCTGACTTCAGAGTGACGTCGGTCGTCGGCCTTCTACTCGGCCTCCAAGTAGCGCCGGTCTTCTTCCCGACCTCCTAGTGACGTCAGCCTTCTTCCCGGCCTCCAAGTGACACCGGTATTCCGCCTAACTTATAGGTGACATCAGTTTTCTGCTTGACATCCAAGAGACGTTGGCCTTCTGCTCGGCTTTCAAGTGATAACGGTCTTCCGCCTGACCTCCAACCTCACACATTCCTCTTACTCAGTGAGGGACCCTAGGGCTGAACAGGGGATACCCATCTGAACAGAGCTAGGGGAAAGCCTCAGCTTGAGAAAGAAGAAAAGAGAGGGGGAGGTGCAAATTTTCTTACTCAAAATAAGAGTATTTATAGTTGCATGAGGGGAAGATTAAAAGTATCTAAAAATTTATATAATTTTCTTTAAAATATTTTGAGAATTTTAAGAGACAAAAATAAATTATCTTTATAAATGAGAATTCAAATGGTCATTCCAAATCACCGCAAAAAATAAGAGTGGGCTGGAGGCGACCCTTTGGCCTTACAATTTTAATAAATATATGTCCGCACATTTATATTCAATAGAGAATACATTCAACAGTTTTTAGATAGTGCATATCCTCTAATTAAAAAATTTATAAAACTGAAATACGACTCAGCTGACGGCGGTATATAAGTATATTTATATAAATAGATTATGTAGCTAAGTAGCTTGATGCAACCAATGGCTTTGAAAATTATTATAATTTAAAGCAACGCATGCCTATTTGGCTTCTAAGAAAATTACTACAGCTTAAGGCTTCAAAGGTCCAATCAATAGTATAAAATGAACCATACAATGTCCTTTCTTCAATTTCTTATAAATAAATACGGAATTCTATAAAAACTTTATTAAAATTTCTTATATACATAAATTGGCATTTATCTAATTAACAAATATGTTATGAATTTGGACAAATTAATTATGACTAGTGATACGTCATCACAAAATTAGCTTAATCAGGCATGAATCTTGCGGCAAAAGCTAGTTGGAAACTTCAAAAATTAATTTTGGGAGCACCCAAACCCCGATTTCAACGAACTTATAGTCAAACTGAGCGTCTCGGAAATACGAACCCAACGACACCAAGATTAACCCAATCCGAGCCCAAATGAGTCTGAATCAAGGGTTCAAAGCGTTGTTGGAAGGTTCAAACCGCAATTTGAGTTACCAAACGATCTCCGATTTTGACGAGCTTATACTCGAATCGAACGGATCGACGAGAAGAATCCAACGAGCCCAAGATCGCCGAATTCCGACATCATTAAGGCCTTCAAATGCCCAACGAACGGTGCATGATCAAAGGATTCAATATCGGCCGTCCATTCAAAACACTCCCAATTCGCCCACGATCTCACGCCTATTTACTGGCTATGCAACTCCATAAAAACTATAAATAGAACCCTCATTCTACACCAAAGGGACTGAAGTGAAGAGAGAGAAGAAGAAGAGGAGAAAGGGGAAAAGGAGAATCCTCACCTCCTCGACCACCGCCAGAGCTCTTCTTGTCGCCTGAAGACGCTGGAACTCTGCCGGATATTTGGGAAAACGCCAGAATTCTTCCCAACTTCCACGGGATGTAGGAATTCTTCTCAATTAATGAAAGAGTTCCCTCATGACGCTGAAACTCCGCCGAAGGGAGGCCGGAGTTCTCCTCTGCCACCAACAGACGTCGGATTTCTACCCACCGTCGCATATTCACTCTTCGCCAAGTTTCTACCCGACGCCGGACTTCTACCGGTTATCAGACTACGCTGGACATTTACGCGAAGATGGAGTTCCTTCCATTATTGGACTTCTACCTGACGTCGTCCTTCTAATCTTCATCGTCAGGACAACAGTTCTTCTGACCTCCGTCGTCAGCCGACTACGGTTCTCCTGAGTTATGTCGCCCACCGAATACAGTCCTTCCGACCTTCGTCGCCAGCCGACTACGGTCCTACTGACTTACGTCGCTCACCGACTACAAGCCTTCCGACCTTCGTTGCCCGCCGACTACGGTCCTCCTGACCAAACGAACATGTCAATAGTGATTCTTTGTATTTTACATCATGTAGTGTACTCCATAAGATGTACATCAAGCTAAGACCTTCCACCAAGGAAGGGCCTCATTTGCAGTCGACTGCAATACTAGTGGATTCATTCAAACTGGGCTAGGCCCCGTGGTTTTTCCCCCTTTTCAGGGATTTTCCACGTAAAAATCTTGGTATCTCATAAATGTTAGACCATCTCTACTTATATGATTGCGTGCTGGATTTTCGTATAACGCTAAGACGATAAACTTTATATTTCTCTACCGCCGCGAATACTCCTGGACGCAACAACTAATATTTGTTATTCTTTGCTATTTATGTTGGCAAATATTCATGAGAATGTACAAATATATATTCTCGGACTTTGCAAGCATAGACGTCCGAAAATAGGGGGGTAACTGATACATCATAAGAAAATTATCTTGACCAGGCACGAATCTTGAGGCAAAATTGAGTTGGAAACTTCAACAATTAAATCAGAGACCATCTGAATTCCGATCTCAGCATTCATATAGTCGAACTGAGCGTCTCGGAAACACGAACCCAACGACACCAAAATCGACCCAATGCGAGCCCAAATCGGTCCAAATCAAAGACTCGAAGCACTTTTGAAAGGATCAAACCACAATTTGTGTTACCAAACGATCTCTAATCATGACATGCTTATAATCAAATCGAGCGGCTCGACGAAACAAATCCAACGAGCCCAAGATCATCAAATTATGATATCATTAAGACATTTAAAGGTCCATTGAGCAGTACATGATCATATGAATCAAGATCGGTCATCCATCCAAACCACTCCCAATTTACCTTTGATCTTCCAATTATTTACAAGCTGCACCACTCATGAATTCTATAAATAGAACTCCATTTCCTCTTAAAAAATGGGGAATAACCAAGAGAAAAGAAGGAAGAGGAGGAAGAAAGCTCCAGCCGCCTAGCTTCTCCTCGACCACCGCTGTAGTTCTACCGACCAATGCCGGGGTTCTGCCGCACCACCACCAAGTTCTGCCGCACCACCGCCGGAGTTCTGCCGCACAACCTCCAAGTTCTGTCGAACCACCACCAGACCATTAAGGTCATCAAAATTGCCACCCAAAGCCGGAGTTCCCCCTGATACTAAAGTGCCATTGTCGGACCACTACCTGATACCAGAGTGCTGCCGGACCACCACCCGGGGCCCAAACTTCTGCCGGACCACCACCAGATGCCTAGAGTTATGCCGAATATGGTTGTTCTGAACTCCCTCACTAGACAACGGTCTTTCTGACCCCAGTCTCCTGCCGACGACGGTCCTTCCAACCTTCCTCACTAGATAACGGTCTTTTTGGCCCCAGTCTCTTGTCGAATATAGTCTTTTCGACCACTGTCATCCGATTACGGTTCTTCCGACCTACGTCGCTTGTCACATGTGGTCCTGCCGCCCATATGAATATATCAACATTGATTCTTCCAACTCCTAATGCACTCTATATGATGTATATTTGCTACTTCGAACTAAGGCCTCCAAGGAAGGACCTCATTTGTAATCAACTATAAAGACTAGTGGATTCATTCAAACTGGGCTAGGCTCCGTGGTTTTTTCCCCTTTTTAAGGGTTTCTACGTAAAAACTATGGTGTCTCTTATGAACGCTACACCCTCTCTATCTAATCTGCTTGTGTGCTAGATCTTCGTACAATGCTATGACATTACATTTTATATTTATCTACCGCCGCGAATACTCTAGGACACAACAACTTTGGCGTACAAAATAGTTATAATTTTTAATATGATTTAAAATAAAAAAATGAAGATAATTGATGGAATAGTTAATTAATTAAAATATTGATTTTTAACTTAAAATTATATTATTTATATTATTTACTGATAAAAGAAGATAGTCTTATCTCAAAATTTGAATTTTGTTTTTAAAGATTTTTTTTTGCTCATCATTCAAAAGAATATTTGTAATATTTAAAATAAAAAATATATTAATTTCATGATAGCATAATTCGGTTTTAATTATATTTGAAATTAAATTCTAAATAAGAAAATGAAAAAATTACTATAATATTTTTTAAGACTTTGGAGTCAAATAAATAAAATTCATTTTCTAAAAAAATAAAGTAAATTTATACACTACCGTATGTGTAAGCATGGAAAAATTATTATGTGCGGATACAAAACAGATCAATTAGAACATGTAATGTTATTTTTTTGTTCGGTATCAATACTTTGTACCGCTCGATATTTAGATGATGTGGGCGTTCTGATTAATCTACCGTTTCTGTATACCCATAGAATAATATTTCAAAATCAAGTCATTTAGTTCATAGAAAGCTCTCACCCAATCAATTAACCTGAGCTGTTTTGATCTGCGATTACTGTCATGCGACTCATGCCGGTTAGGCTCGCCTAACCTCGCCACGCCTCCTTGGCTCTTGAATTACTACAGTGTCCGGTGTGGGCATAACAAAACCGGGACACCGCGTCTGGAGGCGGAAGCGCGACGGACTTGCTCATCTGTCAAGCGAAGATACGCTTAGAGAGGAGCAATGGAGGTTGAAACGAAGAGGACGGAGGAGGACACAGAGGCGGAGATTAAGCGGGCGATGCGTGCCCGTGTGAAGGATTTCAAGGAACAAGCGGAGTAAGATGCCATCCCGCCCTATATTTGTCCCTCCTGATTCCCTCTTGCTATTTTTCTTTCATATTTTAGTAATAGGGAATTTGCGGATTGATTCACCGGAATATTCCGAGATTTTTGGCTCATTTATTGAAGTTTATCTTTTGCTGCTTTGAGCGGCGGCATCAGCATGTTCTCCTGCAATATCGCAATGTTTTTTGGGATCTGGAATCCAGATTTAGTTAGGGTTTATAGCTTTGGCAGAATTTTTTTGTGTTTTGGTTGCATTTTATTAGGGTTTAAGATGGACTGGGTTTGCGCCTTGCCTACCAAATAATAAAATTAAGCAAATAAGCTTTGCTTAGATTAGTCCTTAATGTGATGCTTCCAACGAGAGAGTAAACAGGGCTCCAGCAAATTTTGATATTCATTAAATAGCTTACAACAACAACAACAATAACAACATCAAGCCTTTGTCCCACTACGTAGGGTCGACTACATGATTCCTTTCTCGACATTGTCCTGTTAAAAGTCAAATTCTCATTTAAATCTAATAAAGAAAGATCATTTCTAATATTTTATAACCAAGTCTTTTTAGGTCTAACTCTACATTTCTTAACATAAGTCAAATCTAATACCTCAACTTTTCTAACCGGGTCATCGGAAGGCCTCCGTTTAATGTGACCAATCCATCTAAGACGACTCTCTCTAATCTTATCATTAAATAGCTCAGAACATAAATTTTGTATTTACTACTAAATAATTCATGAATCATCACAATAATATTTGTCTCACTAGTGAGCATGATATATTTTGAGTCCATCATTAGCAATGGATACAATCTCATTATTTAGAATTGACTCATCAATAAGCTGTATAGAAGTATCTAGTATAGAATTCGGTGCAGAGTCATATAGAAGAGGTGGAAAGAAAGAATAATACAAGGAATTGATATTAGGCTTATAAAATAAAGTCAAATTAGATAAATTAAAATATATATTTATATGTATTTCTTCAAATGTTCAAATTGTGTAAAATAATTACAATGTTTTGTATACTTTTAAGTTTTTATACCTTCCTTGCACTCAATTTGCATGAAATCATTTCTAATGAAAGCCTTTCAGAATTTAGATGCACCGTGACTTCATCATGATGTTTAAATTTCACATATCTTATGTTTATATCAACATAAAACTTATTATTGTCATTATTAGTAGCTAGTTTTTTGTGAATAAACTTATGCAAATCATGCATATGTTATGCAAATGGTATAGATCTAGAGTCTGCAGGAAGCTTAACATGATCTGCAGGCTTCCTAGGTTGTTACCTTGTTACAATCTTAAATATACTTGTGTTAGTAGACCTATTGATGTATGAATTATATGTAAATTTATTCATAGATAATATCAAATCCCACCCATGCACATGATCCTTTATCATAAAACTTAATGCATTTTCAAGCTTTTGTCAACCACTTTAAATTTACCTTTAATTTGTGGGTTATAAGTGGTTGAAAATCTAAGTTGTGCTCTCATTTATTTCGATAAATTTTCTAAAAATAACTCATGAAATTTACATCTTTAATCATGAATAATTATTTTAAGCGGACACTATGATTTATCTACTTCATTAAAATATAGCATATCAATATGAAGTGTATTAACAATTTTATGACATTGTTTGAAAAGTGTCATTTTTGAAAAATGTTATAGAATTATGAAAAAAATCATGTTTTTTCAATGTCCGTGCTAAACCTAATATAACATATGTACCGCCCGTGGTTTATATGGAATTGATAAAGGTTTATACAATCCTGTGTTTTGCTTCTTACTTTGAGCATATTGTCAAGTCCTACATTATTAAAAAAATACATACAATATCATCCGCTAACAACCCCAACATAGAATTCTAAAATTAGAAAACCCCTCAATAATGGATTAAGAATTCAAAGATGAGCACTCTTAAATAAATTACCAAACTTCTTGTAGCTTTTCTTAAGCAAATATAAATCACTATTTGCTTGATAAATTCCATGAAAATCCTTACAAGTAAATCTTTTATATGATCACTCTTACCATGCATTATATGTGGAAGGATAAAAACTCTGCTCAAAACATCAGCAAGTTTATTATTAGTTCTAGCACAATATTTAATACAAATGAATATTCTATTAAAGTCTCAATCCTCATGGTATGTTTATTTTTGAGCTTCTTTTTGAGAATTTAGATATTCAAAGCTTAATAATCAGAATATAGTATAAACTGTTTTGATAATAGACAATGTCTCTAATATTGAAGAGTTTGCACAACTATAATTATCTATTTTCATTTAAATTCATTCAATTCTTACTAAAAAAAATGCAATGGGATGTTCTCTTTTAACTTGACGCTCCAATAGCAATACCAAGCACATTAGAAGAAACCTCAAACGCCTTATTGTGATAAAGTAATTGAAATACATGTTCATTTTGTAATCTCTCTTTTATTTTAGTAAAAAAACATAGTTAGTTGACTTAGTCCATTGAAATTACTCTTTTTGAGAATGTTTGTAATTGGAATTATAACAATACTAAACCCTTTAAACTGCTGTTCTTGATGTCTTCTTCTTGTTTCCTTTAAGCTTTCTTTCTTCCATCAAGGCCAATTCGCCATCGAAGCTGCTTCGCCACTAAAGACGGGTCACCACCAAATGACACTGGCGACGGAGGCGACACGACGACGGACAAAAACACTAGCAACTTGCTGGCTCTGATCCGGACCGGAGGGGGCTCGACGAATCCACGTCGATGATCCGGTGTCCGTGTCCGAGCAAGTCTCCAAGAACTTCTTGGGAAAAAGAATCCACCACCTAAGAACAATCTCAGGATACAAGAATGACACAACATACAACTCAAATTTTATTCATATCTCAAATCTCCCTATTACAAGAGTTGGTTATGTATTTATAGTCAAAGGAAGCAACAAAAAAAGCTACATGCCACCATAATGAACACTATATTTATATAGACATATTAACAACTAAATGGAATTAAACTATCTTGAAGTTAACGTGATTAAGTGACTCAGCTCCGGCGTCAACATTTTTTGCAATATTCTTAATATCATTAGTTCTTTTTTCCCACATAACATTAGCATCCACATGTATAGACAAAATCTTAAGATCTAAAATCTTACTCTAAAAAATATTTTTGTTAATATTTTTTAAGTGCCCCAATCTAATCCTAGAATAATATATGTTCGTGTAGATTCATATTTATCCTTATGTTTGTTGATTTCAAAACTACCCTCCTCTCATTTGTTTTAAAAACAATGTGTTAGACCTTCCAAAATTATTAGCATCTAAATTATACAACAAATGTCTACCCAAAATAGTATGAGTAGAGCCCATGGCAGGACATCACGCTAGATTGTATTAGTATAGGTTGTTACCTAAGGAAGAACTAAACATCTATGAGACTCAAAAATAGCAGTGTTTCTATCCAAGCTACCAGATATAATTGTGGATGTGGTTCGTTTTTCAAATTCATGTAATGTAAGGTAGACTTTGACACATCATTCATATAGTTCCCACTATCATAAATTATGAGTGCGTAGTTTCTCATTTTTAAAATATGTTTGAAAAATTGCAACATTCTTTCAATTAAATTCAACCTTAAGAGTATTAATTGTGCCACACTCAATTGAATAAGACATTTAACTTGTACTTACAATATTAGAGTTGGCTAGAAAATTTTTATCAAAAGTTAAAAATTACATACCTTAGAATATCTATTTACAAACTTGTTAGACCCTAGGAAAATATATATATAATTGGTAAAAGAACAGCTCAATTCAAGTTTAAATTAACACCAAAATAAGAAATAATTCAACTTTGAAAATTTAATCCTAAGAATGCAAATATGCCTGATTTAAATTCAACCCCAAATGCATGTGATCATGTTATTTGCCAACCCAAAAAACCAACGATACTTTTAAATTTTACAATTTGTATGCCTCAAAACAACTATCTTTTATAAAACAAACTTTGCATGAACATGAATGAGGTGAAATCGCCTCAAATGGAAAATGGAAAAAAATGCAAACAATAATTCACACTTCCAAGGTTAGGCCTCCTAAAGACATTTCCCAAAGCAAGATGTATAATTCCAAATATCCGTTGCAAAAGGAAGCTGCATAATTTATCTCTTTAAGATAAAAAAATTCTTTTTTATGAGAAGAATGCCATCAACATGCATTGAGGATCACAATGCTAAATGAAGAGTGTGTTGTCACTATTTTTTTGTTTTACTTTTGACAATCGAGTTTTTTATACCCTATTTTTTCTTTCTAGGTCTTAGTAGGAGGTGTTGCTCACACTCATGCACCTATTCTTTTTGTAGTGTTATCATTTAGTGGTGACCTTCTTGGGTTTGTAGTTACTATATTGATACTTTAGCTTTGACTCTATTCTATTTTTCTGATTTTTTCTCTTTGGTTCACTCAATCTCTAACATGTACACTTAGGCTATTTATTAGTTTCACTTGGCTCAATATGCCTTGAGCTTTGTACATCTTCCTTTTGATTGACTTAGTCAAATCTCTCTCCATATATTTAACATATTGCCATAGGTCATACCAATTTGTCTATGATCCAAGCCTATCTTTGACCAATTCAAGTAACTTTGTGCTCATACTCTCTACTTAGTCAACCTAAGACCCTTTAACATATCTATTAGATTAGAATCAGTACCCTTCGCTTCGATAGGACCCATTGATGAGGACATCGCTCAGAGATTTCGACATGTGTACCGGCGAGGAATCGTAGATCGGCGACTACGATTCAGAGTCTTTACTTTTAATGTATTTTATGTTTTATTTATTTTGCATTTCAATTTTCCTAGTTTACCCCTATGAAGAGTGTTTTCTTATTGTAGCCCTGAGGGCATTTGAGTACTTTTCTTTTCTTTGTGATTGAGACCTATATATAGCGGTCTTATGCTTTGTAAAAGGTTAATTAATGATTGAATGAAATTTTGATATTTGTCTTCTTCTTCTTCTTGTGTGTGCTCAAGAGAGAAGAGAGAGTCCGAGGTGAGGGCGAGCGCAATATCCACCAGTCGTTGGAAGAGTTCGTGGCTTATTTTCTTGTTCCCTTCTTCTTCTCCCCCATCCGTCGGATGTATTCCATTCCCCGACCCTTCGGCCCACCTTTAACATCCCTAAACTCACCCCAATTCCACCTCCCAAAGTTCCTCCACGCGCAAGCTCAAACCGTCTCCCTTTTCCCCTACCCGACGCCATCTTTCCCCTCCCCATTGCCATCGACCCACCCTTTGGCCACCTACATTATGATGATTTCAATCATCATAATTGTTTCCTAAATTAACCCAAGTAAGGCAGGAAAAAAATTAGTATTATTTGAAATTCAAATACTTTCCTTATTTGCACTCTCTAATTTAGGAAAGTGTATAAATCTAAGTCTAATTTAAATTATATTCAATTTAATATTCTCTTTCTTAATTTTCAAATACTTTTCATATTTACACTCTCTAATTTAGGAAAGTGTATAAATCTAAGTCTAATTTAAATTTAAATTAGATTCGATTTAATATTCTCTTTCTTAATTTACACGAGTTGCTTTGGAAACTTTTAAATCTCTCCCCAACTCCCTCCTCCCTCTCGTAATGCCGTCGGCCCCCATCAATGGCCACCTCCTTTGATTTTTCCTTTTAAGCCCTTAATCCTAATTTGAATTTGAAATTAATTTCAAATTTATTTCCCTCCAAATTTACTTAAATATGAAATTAATATCAGATTTATTGAAAACTCCACCCCAACCCTAAACCTAACTTAGCCCCCATAAGCCTCCCTCTCTCCTTGGCTGCCCCTTCCTCTCCCCTCATCTCCCTTGGAAACCCTAAATCTCTCATCAGTTTGGATCCACGAAAAGAAGACAAACTCCTCATCTCTTCTACCATTGGTGAATGGCCGACCCTGAGGTCGACCACAGATTCTCCTACAATGCTCAAGGGGAAATCGACATCTTGTTCTCTCCTTTCTTTGAACCGGATTGGGACTATGAAGATTAAGTGGAAAGCTACGTCAACCGCATACTCTATTGCCTCGCTGAGACAATTGACGAGCAACAACCCACGGGACATTGGCAAGTCGTCGGCCGATCAACAACCTCTCTTCCTCCGGCTACTTCTTCGATGAACAAGACCCTACATGTCACTTGTCTTGTGGTGGCATCACTTGGGTTGCTCCTACCCTTTATCCGCTAAGCCCCAACTTCAAAAGTGAGAGTGAAGGAACTCATGGTGAACATTTCTTGATGTTACGTCGTGGATTTTTATTTCATTGCCATTAGTTTTACTATTATTTTGTTGCTACTTGCAAGTATCTTGTTAATCTCAATTGTAATTGCTTGCTATTACTTGATCTCTTAACAAAAGTTCTAAGAAATCTAACTTGTTTAAACATAAGTTATAATTAGTAAAGCTAAAGTTTAAAGTATTGTTAATTTCCAAAGGCAATCCTTGTTCACTTACATGTTTCACATCACCCATAGTCTTTTTTGTTCTTTCCTGATACTTTTGCACATGCACTTGGAGCCTGCAAATAGTCATATTAGCCTTGCTTACTCTAGAGAGACGTAGGGTAGTCTAGCTAGTCCTTAGGTCAATTACTCTATTAATGTAGTGTTTATGTCATTATGAGTACTCTGTGATGAACCAAACACTCTTACTCTTAGGCTATCCCCGAGACCATTCACATTGGTCTTAGACTCCTTATAATTGGATTGACTTAGTTTCTACTCAATTTGTCACATTAGGTTAATTTAAACTCATTTGTCAACCTAGTGGTTAACCTGACTCGCGTTTGTAACATTGTGTTGATCTGATGAATTTATCTAACATAAACCACATCATGGATTGTAAAACTTATGTACATGCCCTTATACTCTAAGGTATTTTCTTATATCCATCTTGTCAACCTTGAGTAGACCCAGTCAATACTAAGCCTAATAGGTTAGGTTTAGTCAACCATGACTTATTATCATAGGTTTGAGACTATTGAACATCCATGTGAGAACTAATTAGTCCGAGGCTTTCTAATTTGTATATTTGGTGGTGTCTGTTGATTCAGGAGTCGAAGAATCTAGTTGATGAAGTTTTTCATAAGATGTAATGAGGAAATGGAAAGCTCCAAGCCATAAGAGAGAGTTGATACCATTGAGTTTGATAGTAGTACTAATGTTGAAGGACGGTTTCACTTCGGAGAGAGAAGTAGAGGAAGTTATCAAAGAATGCCACAAAGAAAAAAAAGCACAACGTTGAGTTTATTAATAAAAGATTGAGAGGTCATAGTCAAATGATGTTGCAAAAGAGAAATCTCTTTCTGAGGTTATTTAGTAGATGCATGCACGAGTGGGAGTACACAAGCAACAATACTTGCGAGCATGAAGGCTACATGCGTGCAAGAAGATACAAAAAGGTGATCAACTTGAGATTGTATCATTTCCAAAGCTTAGCTGAGAGGACTTTGGTTGTATCACATGAGTAGACTATGGGTGTGGGGGATTGTGGTTAGGAAGGGTGAAGGCATGAGGCGTGATGCAATAGTTAGATGCAAGTGTGAATGTGGCGAGTGAACACTGGTGAGAAATTATTTTAAATAGAGAGGGATGATGGAGAAGTAGAGTGACAATTAGAGTATAGCCATGTCTTATACGGTTATACCTTGTTATAACTGTTGAACTTTTTGACTAATTTCACTACAATATATGTTCTTATATATAGATTGATACAAGAGATAAAATCTGAAAGAAGTAACAAATAAACAAAGAGGAGAATATCCTTAATTACGAAGATATATTATAGAAGAAAAAAGGAATATTGAAAATTACTTTTAATTTGATAAATCTCTGTGATAACATAATCGTCGAAGGTTGAACTTTCATTTTTCCTTGAGAGCTTTCTAGATTAAGATTCTCCATTTTAGGTCATTTACTCCTATTAATGCAATCAATCACATAATAAAACTTAACAATAGGATTGATACTTGACTAATGTTGATCTTAATCATATCAGAAATATAACATTTGATGAACTCATGAACCTTTCATTGACATAACCCATTTGCATGATGCCCGCCCTTCTTATTGGCTAACATATTTTGATTGATTATAGATTGAAAAATTTTGAATGTAGCAAAAGCTGATGTTCTATCCAAAGCAATGAATTGTACTTGTATAAAATGATTGATACTATAAGAATTTTTCCATAGAATGTACTTCAAAACTTATAGAATGATTGATACAAATGCAATAAATCGCATAATAATTCTTAAAAATAAGATTGTTACTTGACTATTGTTGATCTTAAATCTTAATTATATCAGAGTTTTTAAAATTTGATGAACCTTTCGTTAACATAATCCATTTGCATGATGCCTGTCCTTCTTATTGGCTAGCATATTTTGATTGATTATAGATTGAGCAATTTTGAATGTAGCAAAAGCTGATGTACTATCCAAAGCAATGAATTGTACTTGTATAAAATGATTGATACCATAAGAATTTTTCTGTAGAATGATTGTCAAGGAGTACATTAGTCATTTTACAAATATGAATTGTACTTGTATATTTTTTTTGCCATTGAATCCCTCAATTTATGTTTGTATCTTTATCCTTGCATTATTAATCTAATAATTTTTTCTTAAGAGCCTTTGGAGTATAAACTATAAAGTTTGAAGCTACCAAATGGACCCTTGAAGTGGCCGCTGTTTGTGATGTATGGAAGGACGTCAGGTTCAATAGTAGATTCAGTGCATAAGCTAGCTAAATAGATAAAAAAAGGCTCACATAATGCATCAGATCGGGTAAAAAAAAGTTTCAACTTTCAAGTTAGAGCAGCTGAACTATAAAGTTGGAACCTAACAAATGGAGCCTTGAAGCGACCATTGCTTGTGAAGTACGATAGTAGATAAAATTCAATAACTAGTACAGTGGATATGCTCTAAATAGACAAAATTAGAACTCAGAATTCAGGGTTTCTTCTTTGTTTTCTTTATTAATTTTCAACCTATCTTTTTGTTCGGGGAAAAAAGAACGTTATGTATCTGGATGCTGCCCATGCCAGTATATAAATTATTTGAAAACTTAATCTGTTTTTTTTTTTTTTCGCTTGACTTGGTTCATGTCAAGTTGCATGCTCTAGAACTGCTGGTTTGGTTAATTCTCACCTCAACTTAACACTTTATTTCTACTTGAAGTTCATATTGTTTGTTTATACAACAAGTCTAACAGAAGTTGAGTTTGCACTTTTGATATATTCAAGTTTGCTGATTTGGTCCGTGATGCAGTTCCTTGACTCTTGAGGGTGTTAGAAGGGCATTAGAGAAGGATTTGGGCATGAAGACTTTATCGTTGGATGTGCATAAGAGGTTTATAAAGCAATGCTTGGAAGAGGTATGGTTCTATTGTACATGAGTAATTTGTTTATTTCTTGTTTTTATCTTTCAATTTGATAAAGAATCTATGACGTTATATGGTCAAAGTAGTATGTGGGCCTCATCCTACCTTCATGTTTTTGCTATTTTGATCATGGTCTAATTATGTATGCTGTCCTAAACATTAGAATATGTATTTTTCACATAGGGTGTTGATTCTTGCTTTAGGGAATTTGAATAGGAATGTAAGTACCTTTTTTTCTTTGTTAAAAAATCTGAATTCTTTTGCAGTGAATTTTTAAATACTTGGTGATGAACCAAGTAGAGATGGTTGAAGTGCTCAAGCTGATTTTCAGAAATTTTGGGCCTGTTAGTTGAGTGACAAAGGTTCACGCAAAGCAATGTCTTTGCATGCAAAATTAGCTTCCCATCACAAAGATCAAATTCAGGACATTCAAGTTCAGATAATATAGTCTAATTGACTGCACCTACTTTACATTGCATTCCAAATACGTCAAGAGATTATTTGGTTGCTTCTGTTTAGAATGCATGTTTATTTCAATTATAATGTAAAATAAATACTGTGCATTAGGGAATACTTTAAGTTTTTTGGTTGGTTGTAAAATAAATTCAGAAGATATGTTTTTTTTTGCATTTGATGGGATGTAATGTGAATTTAAATATTTGTATTTATATAGTTTTTGTATAATATATATTGTAGAAAAGTAGAAATATTAAAAAAAAACTTTAAATTTTATTTCTTGATTATGTTCATTCGTGGATCTTCTATCCACTATTGATCCTACATAGTTTGCATCAGTATATTCTTCAGTTTTATAAAGTATCTTGCATTTTATATAAATTTTTTGCCTATGTTTGATTTAAAATATCTAAGAATTCTATAAGCAATTTGAATGTGAGACTTTTTAAATATGTATGAATTGACTAACAAGATTTATTGCAAATGATCAGTTTGGATAGGTGTGAGATAGATTAGTTTTCCATCTAATCTTCAATATTATTCCATGTATACTTCTTTTCCTTCTTCAGGCGTGTCTTTGACCTGATTTATTTAGGGTTTCATAAGATTTGAAATCAATAATTTTTATTTAAATAGATTTATGCTTTATTTTTATTGAGAGAGGATTATTCTTTGTTTAAATTAAGCAACTTTTATGCCCAAAAAGGATTTGAGTTTTTCCAACTTCTTAATCTCAAATTCTTCAACAAGTTTTTTCTTGAGAGATTTATTTTCTTTATTGTCGTCACCTATAATAATTATATTATCAATATATATAATGAGGATTAACATTTTATCATCAATTGAGTGTTTTATGAAGAGGGTATGCTCCTTTTGCTTTTGTTTATATCCAACTTCATTTATGACTTCTATGAATTTGCTAAATCATGCTCTTGGAGATCTATCAAATCCCGATGGTGGATCCTTAAATAATTTTCTTAAGAATTCCCATGTGAGAAAGCATTATTTACATCATATTGCTACGTGGATCATTCGCGATTGGCTACAAGAGAAATCAGGATGCATATCATATTTATTTTTGCAACATAAGCAAAAGTTTCGTAGTAGTCGATTCCATATGATTGGGTATATCTTTAGCTACAAATCTCGCTTTATGATGGATGATTCTTATATTGCTTAATTTATTCGTCAAACTTAATTGAAAGATTGAGGAAACTCAAAGTAACACAAAACATCACCAATTTAGGGATATCCCAAGTGTGATTTTTTTTTTCCAGAGCATGTATTTATTCTCTTATAATATCTTTTCAATTCTTGTTTTCACATGCCTCAAATAGGATTTGTGGTATTGTAAAGAAATTGAAGCTTATGTTGGGAGCTAGGAGAATGTGTAGTGATGTGTTGATCACTATTACCTTGTTAATGGTTCTGAGTCCTGAGTTTACTGGAGATTTTGGCTGGGGTTATTCTATAGACTTAAAGGTGTATATTGTCTGGATTTGTTGGAGTTTATGTTGTTGAAATGTCAAAGTAAAAGATAGATGTTTCATCAAATTTATCTTTTAGTTGAGAGTTCTCATGAAGATGAGTTTGATTTTAAAAACTTTACTTCTCAGAAAAGATGACATTTTTTGAAGCAAGAAATTTTTGGTTGGTAGGATGATTAACACTTATACCATTTTTTAGTGGAGGACCAACAAAGACACATTTGAGGGTTCTAGGATTAAGTTTACCCGTATTGTTTGTGGATGTGGATATTGGCAGTGCTCCCAGAGATTTTTGGTAGAATTTTTAAGAGGCTGATTTGTGGGGATGAATTAAATTAGATAGTTTAGAGAACTTTTAAAGCCAATCACTCTTGAGGGCATTCTATTGGTTAGGTATATGGCAATTAGGATTGATTCTCCTCAGTATCTTTTTGATACTTGATTATGGAAGAGTCCTAATGACTTTCATAGGATTACGATTTTTTCTTTTTCATCACTCAACTCTGTTGGATAGTTTCAGGACAAGAAGATGGGTGGGTGATACCTTTTTTGCTGTAGACTCTAAGGTTGACCTCCATAATTCAAGTTTACCTTCAACTCCCTTTCTAGTCTTATCAACAAGAAGAATATCATCAGCAAAAAGCATACACCAAGGTACATCATCTTGCAAATGTATAGTGAGAAAAATAATTTTATTAAGAAAGAAAAGGACAGTATAAGCACGGACCGAAAACCAAAAACAACAATGAAAGGAAACAAAAACTAAAACAACAAAGAGATCATAAGCCAAATGCCAAAAGCAGACTCATAGTGGCAGTCCCCCCACAACGACCCCACAACCACCAAGGGCCATCCATTAGAGACAGAAATCTACAGAAACATCATCCTAGGTAACGAACAAGCAGAAAGCATACCACCAAGATTGCCAACAAGATGACCAGCAGGGTGATAGGTAAGGAGCTGCCTCATCATCGTCCATAGCATCAAAAAAACCCACGGAAATAAAAGCGATGGAGGGGACCAGAAGCTATTTCTTCTTAGCTTTACTTTAACTTTTTTGCCTTTCACATTATCACCGAGAACAACTTCCTCAACCTCAACCGAAGGTGAAACTGCCTCATCCAAAATAAAATCAACCAATCATTTGGGACCAAAATTGAATTCTTCAAAGTATCGGATAGACGGGCCTTCAACTCAGCATTAGACATAACAAAAATAGTAATATCCACAAATTTCACGTTTCTCTGGGCAAGATTAATAATAGGAGAAGAATCTAGCACAACAGAGTTAATCAAAGCCTCACCAAAGAGGCGACAATCCACATAATCCAACACAAGACGTTCACCAGACGACACACGAGTTGCAATAGGAGTGGGAAAAACCAACATACCACAAGACACTACATTACCAACATTAACGACAGGACTAGCACCCTCCCCAAATGCAGCTCCTCCACTAAAAACACCTGTAGAATCATGACAACCAACCCCAAGAGACAAAACATCAATAGCGACCCCAACATTCACAGCCTCAGACGGATTACCAAAAGGAATAGAAGCAACCTGCTCCATGGAGACATAGTCCAAATTCACACCAACCAAACCCCCAACATCAATACAATTCACCTTACAATTGTTCAAGGATAACATATCCTCCTCTCCAACACCATTCAACATGGGCATAGGGGAGCCACCGCCTTCATCAGTTAAACCCACCACATTACCAACAACAAATTCATGCAACAGAAGCACAACACAATTCTCATTAAAAAGCAAAACCTTCCCACCCCCAAGATTAACAAAAGTAGTCGCAGAGTCATGACAGCCAGCCCCAGGAGACACAACAGGACTAACAACCGAATTGACTAAACAATGATTCGACTCTGGTTCCACAACAACCTCCATATTAGGCACACCAAGCGAACTAACAATATTAACAAGCTCAGTAGCAGTAGGAGGAACATCCCTTTGCGAATGGGACTTAGCTAATTGCGGGTGTAAGAGTATACATTCCGATTTGGAATGTCCTAAAGATTTACAATGCAAGCAATACAAAGGCATATCCTCCAAAATAACCGACTGGACATACCCCAAATTATCCAAACCAATCCAAATCTGGTTACGAAACTGTTTGGAGACATCCAATTCGACCAAAACACGAACAACTGAAGGACGAGAACCAGTAGAGGTAGCATGATCTATTTAAGGGGGTGACCAAAAATAGAACCGACGCCATGAAGAATCCTTGGAGAGAAGAGATGAGGTCTCAAATTCGGGAAATACACCCAAATAGGAATAATAGGTGATTCAACATCCATGTCAAACAAAGGCGACCACTTGATCAAACGCATGTAACAATTGTTAACGAAATAAGAGCGACGCGCAAAGATATGCCAATAATCAAAATCATTCTCTAATTTTATCAAAACATTATTCGGATTAAGAACCGTAACAGAGAAATCACCATTCGGTTTAAGTTGAAAAAAAAAAAAATCGAATAGCTTCAAGGGATGGCCGGTTGGTCGGAAATTTCCCAACCCACGCGAAATCAAAAGGTGCAGCAAGCGAAAGAATTTCAGCCTCAGAAATCCATAAAGAGGGAAGCCCACGATGAATATAAATTTTAAGCTCAAGGAAAGAAGAGACATTACCGGAAAGAGCATCCGGAAAGTACTTAGACGAAGGTTTGCCATCAAGAAAACCGGCGTCAACTAAACGTTTACCAGCCATCTAGAAGAAAAGCACAAAAAGAAATGAAGAAACACTTTCCAGAACGAAGAAGCGCAATCAGAAAGCATGAGCAAAGCAGCACGACGGAAATCGCTACGGAGACGGAAACCCTAGCAAAGCGCATAGCAAAGCTTCTTAGGGTTGAATTATTTTTGTGTCATTACAGTAAAAATGAGGAGAATAATGCTGACATTAGATTTGTGTTTTATGAAATATACCCATGTCATCCAAGTGCAATTATCAATAAAGATGATGAGTCCTTATAACTCCAGAAATATTGGATATTTTGGAAGGTCCCCAAATGTCAAAGTGAACAATTAGAAAATGAATAGAGAATATAGAATCACTTTTAGAAAAAAAAAACATAATGTTTAGCATTTCACAAGTCTCAAAATAATTTGTTTTTTGTTTTTATGTTTTCACTCATAAAAAAAGAAGGAAACATACATTGCAGGGTTTTTGAAGGGGGGATTCCCTGACCTATAATGATGTTTCCATATGGCTTCTTTGTTGAGTGTAGAAAGAAAATGGCAAGTGATTTTTGTCTTCAATAAGATATAAACCGACTTATTCTCTAGCTTGTCTAATTGTCTTCCCCATAATGAGGTATGAAAGTACATAATGATTAGCAAAAAAGGTTATTTTGTAGTTGTGATCTTTAATTATTTTATGGATGGATAGAATATTTAATGCAAGATGAAGAACATGTACATACTAAGGGTAAATGTGGAATAAATTGAAAGATTTCCTTAACCTACAACGGTTGTTAGGAAACCATTTTGCAACTTTTATTTTTCTGTTGCCGGGGCAGGGGTTGTAGGTTTGAAAAAGTTTGGCAATGTTGATCATGTATTAAGTGGCTCTTGAATCTAGAATCTAGGTGTATGGAAAATTATTTAATGTATTAAAAATAGTAGAGTTAGAAGTCCTGCCATTTTGAGTAAGAGAACATGAATCGGATGATTTTTATCTAGAAATTTTGAGTATGTTTGTTTGACGACATCTTAAACTTCTTCTGTGGTAGATAAGAACATAAACGACCAATTGATTTCAGGCATCATGTTATTCCACAATTATATCATGATCATGAAATCAACTTCATCATAAAGTACAAACTTTGGGTCCTTCGGCTCTAAAAGAGGATCCATGGAGTTTGTGGTATTGCCTTTATGTTTTGCAGAAGAGTTTGCTCTTTTGGCAGTGTTTTTTCTTTTTCATTTTTTTTCCTCATAGGCAGTTCTTTGAATATCAACTTGCGGGTTTAGTATTTTGATTACTTGAGATCTTAGGTATATAAATTCTCAGTTCCTCCAGCAGCAAAAAGGGAAATTCCCGTACCATTACATGCAGGAAACTCTCGAGTGTTTGATTTGGGATCAAATCAAGTGTGTTGAAATTTCAGACTTTTTTGCGCACTAGTCTTATGCCACCTGTTCTAGAGGAATCACACGCTTTTTTTCTTCTTCTGGGAGTTGCAGCAAAGCTAACAAATGAAATGCTACTATGCCATATACCCTGGCCATCTAGTCTTGGATCCTGACACCTCGGGAACATGAAAGCAATATGGATTTTCATTTGCTGCTTTACTGATCATGATTCTTATTGTAAGGATGTTTTTTCCCTTCATATGGACTTTAGTTTCTTTTTCTTTTCAAAACAGTGCTTTTATGGTGGTGATGATGTCGATCTATGTACAACGACGGGAAGTGCTTCAGATCCATGTTCACCACGTATAAGCAAAGAAACCCCTGATGAAAAGGATGAGCCTCAGCAACCCAAAGATCGTAAAAGTACCAGTTCTGATATTAATGATGGGGTGGACGAATATCCTGTTGAAGAAGAAAAGCCTAATCAAGAATCCATGACAGCTGAAGATGTTAAACATGACGATCAGCTTAGTGAAGATACAATAAAGAAAGCCATTAAAAAACGAGGTCCTTATTTCAGAGCAAATCTCGAGTATGTAAAGCTTGATGAAAAACTATTTTACTTAAATGTTTGTTGGTCAACTACGGCCAAACAATTTTTGAATGTTCTTTTGCGGTCAATTTTTCTGTTTTTGCTACTTAGAGCTACATCATTCTAGAAATTGACTATTTGTTTTCTTTGAAATTTCAGGAAAATTTCTGTGGCAAAAGTTCGTCGACTTTTGGAAGATGATCTTAATCTTGAGAAAAACACTCTTGATGCTTATAAAAGTTTCATCAGTGATGTTTTAGATGAGGTTAACACACACGTTTTATACTCATTTATTTGTGTGCATTGCGTATTGTTTTATGACAGTAGAGTAAATATATATTCTTCCTTTTGATTGCTGTGTCTATTAGGTCTTGCAATCACCTGAATCTGCTGACGTTACAAACGGCACTAAGAAGAAACTCAAGAAAGCTTCAAAGAGCAAAGAAACAGGAAAAGTAAAGAGAGAGCCTAAGGTTGCCAGTGAAGATTCAGGATCCTCTAATTTGGGTAATGATACGAGTGAGGCTGATGAAGATACTGATACGGTAAAGAGACCAAAAAAAAGGCCACTTAAAAAATCAAAATCAAGCATGAAACCTATTAAAAAACAGAAAACATCTTCAGATGAAAACAAACCGTCAGTTTCTAGGAAAAGGGAACAAGAAGAAATGGATTCAGATAAAGGAGCAGAAAGTGATAATGAAAAGTCTTCGGAAAATTGTGGTTCACACTCATCTTCTGATGAAAGACCAAAGGTTACTTTTTCTATTTTCTCTATTAAGTGATTAAGAAAACTGGAACCTGATTGTGTTAATTTCTGCCTTAATGTAGAAGAAACAAGATAAACCAACTGTACAAGCATATGGAAAGCATGTTGAGCATCTCAAATCAGTCATCAAAGCTTGTGGGATGGGGTATAATATTTTTCTTTTCAGCTGTCATACTTTAAAGTGTGAATGGGGCAATAATTCAATACAAAGAGTACGTGAAAATGGTTGTTAAAGTTTATTCTCCTCTTTCCTTTTTAGCGTACCACCTGCTGTCTATAAGAGGGCTAAGCAAGCTCCAGAATCAAAGCGTGAATCATTTTTAATAAAAGAATTGGAGGATATTCTTGCCAAGGAAGGTTTATCGACTAATCCATCTGATAAAGGTATGCTTAACTTTCTTAATCTTGACTTATAACAATAGCAGATGTAATTTTACCATGTGACTTTATTCCAAATTATCATTCAAGCTTTTAGCTGTTGGTGATACAATTTGTTAATCTGGAAGACATAGTTTCATCTGTCTTATGCACAATGACATGCCTTAGGCTCATCCAGGCCCCATATCGGGGATTGATCTGCTTGGCCAGCTCATTCTGGTTCTTTTGGTTCCGACCACAGTTTATGTGCCTTTTAAACAACTACTTGTGCATGATAACTTTAACTAGTGCCATGGCTTGCAATTTGACCCAACAACATTTTGACATTTATCACAATTTAGAATTGCATGCTTAGATCTTTTTTTTTTTGGTTTAGAAATAAAATCAGTGAAAAGGAAAAAGGAGAGGGCAAGGGAGCTCGAAGGCATAGACATGAGCAATATTGTGTCTACTTCTCGTCGAAGAAGCACCTTCAATTTTATACCCATTCCTAAACCAAAAATAGAAGCCGGAAGTGAGGAAGATGAGAAAGATGAGGAAGATGAAGATGATCAGGAAGGTACAGATGATGACGATAATGGAAGTGGGGAGTCTAGTGAAGGATCAGAGGAAGGTATGCTTAGCATGTTCTATCAAGCTTGAGATGCATCATTCTATTGATCTATTTTTATTTTTCAAGTAGATGTTAACTTTTAAGTTCTATGACATTTTTTTATGTGTGCATTTATTTATTTATTTATTTAATTTGAATCAATTATTCAATACCACAACTATTCTTTTTTTTTTTTTTAATATTTTTAGCTATGTGTTGCCTAGGCAGTGTTTCAGACTGCATATTTTTTGTTACAATAATTTAGTAAAAAAAGGAACAAATTACTTAATAATTTTTTTGTTTAAAATTTTTAATAAAGAAAATGATGCAGGATGAGAGATTGCATTACAATCATACTAGTGTTTTATAAAATATTCTAGCGTTTTTAGATTATTTGTTGGCTTTTGTTTATTTAGATGACTTTTTGACTAATTTTGGTTCAAGTTTGAATTTAAATTTAAAGATCCTATTTTTTATTAATAGGAGATGGATGATTTCTATCTTCATAAAGAATTATGATTTGCATTTGTGAAGATTCTTCCCTTCATTACCAATCCTCCTCCATGTCTCGCTTTTATCCATCATAAAACCCTGAATGGGCCTTTTCTCTCTTACAGAGGATTTATTATATTTATCTCATCCTCTAATTTCTTGGAACACTAAACCATAAATCAACCTCCTGGTTTCTTCCCATTCTTGTGGATAATGTTAAATCGTAAGAATTTTAAGCTTGTCATACTTCATACTTGTGGGATCCTCCCTTGATTGAGTATTGAATTCATGAAAAAACCAACATTTAAAGGAGAAAAAAAGCTAGATTAAGAAGGAGAATATCATTTGGGGTTCATCAACAAATTTGATTTACGATCATCCTTTTATATTAATTGGCATCAAGACAAATTTAAACTTTAGCCAGTCATATTCGTCAGGTTTCCATTACTCATCCCACACTATCACCAAATTCCACAAAGGTGGAAAAAAACTCAAAACCTAACCTAGATTTAAGCTGCATATGAATTCCCTTGCCTACTATCATGACATCGTTAACGCCAAAATTTTTGGCCCATGTAAGATGGCAGAAATTATGCTTTAAATGATATATCATTAATTTATGTACTATTTGTAGTGCTACTAAATTTCAAATTCATTGGCAGGTTCATTCATGCTCATAAGCATCTAGGTTTGGAACATTATTATGGGTATAGTTTAGATGGGTAAAATACATGTCCACCCCATTATATTCAATTATCACATATTATGGTAAATGGCATTTGGTATGAGGAGGTTGAAATGTTATTTGAAGACTCTAGATGAAGCATTTAGTGAAGTTTTCATGTATCATATATTTGACTCCTGTGATTACACATATGATCATAATTCTTATTATTTTCAATATAATAACTACAGTGTGTCATGTTACAATGGGTCTGTAAACGAGTCTTATGATTACAATGAGTCATATCATAACCATGACTACCATTTTAATTATTTTCAATCTCTTAAATATTAAATCGTCTTTCACGCACACCAATTTTGATGTATCAGATCATTATCAATATGCCTATGTGTCTTATGAGGAATATAAATATTGTCATCAGTATAGATCATGGCGTCTTCTATGAGAATCAAATTACAACCACATATTGATGCTATTCAAAGCAGTTGATGTGCTGTGCAAAGATTTACAACTTCTTTTTGAGTTCCAATAAGGTTGATCCATCTTTTGCAGGATTGGACCCTCTTCCTCATTTCATTAATCTTCAACATTAAAGAACCCTTGAATTCGTGTTGAGTACTAGGGGAAACTATAAAAGCTTGCGTCTTATGTGGGGCATCCAAGCTAAGTATTTTGAAGATAATGATGGTGATAAGGCATCAACATGGGCCAACTTTAAGTCAAGAGCGATGGCATATGTTTCGCTTTAACAAAACTTCCAAAAACTTTGTCAGATAAAATTGGTCTTTACATTCATATTGTTCCTTTATGAGGCAAGTTTCAAAAAGGATCCACTTAAATATACCTTCCACTGATCAAACACTTTTTCTGAATGCTGAAACTGAGTTTCAATAACTTATAAAAACTGAGTTAAAACAAACTAGCTTGATTTGGATTGGGTCCTAATTACTTTATTTGATTCTTGACATTTTAAGGCGTGGGATTTATTGATGTAGATATAGGATGACATGAAAAAAGGGAAAAAAATTACTGAAGCCCACAATTTACAATTTCCCAACTATTAAATCAGGCAAAGCTTAGTTTTTTAATGAAAAAATTGGGAACACATTTAACAAGACAAATGATAATGTAAAAATTTTCACAATAAATTTGGGAACAAATATAAATTCTCATCAATTTTGATTCATTAAAAAAAAAAAACTAATGTGACAAATTTGACTTATTCATAATCATAGTCTCATACTAATAACTAAAGAGAAAAGAAGAAAAAGAAAAAAAAAGTCAAGTGTTAATCTAGGCCGTATATCGGTATGAGAGAAGCTAACTCCAATAAGTAGTATTATGTTTTGCAACTCACTCAATGAGTTCAAATCCAATAAGACACTTCTCAGAGTATTTTGGAATTTGTTAAGCAAATCAAGGAATTTAATATGCCTTATAATTCCTAGTTAGTATTTATTACCCACATAAAGCCAAACATAGTAATTTCTTTAAACCCGCTTAGATCTGTCCTAAATAGTAATACTAATTCTACAATTTTGGATTTAAGCAAGAATGACATTTTTTTCAGTCTCAGTTTGAGCAAACTAGTATGTTTCGAATTTTCAAATCTCATTTATAGCAATGTTTGCTTCTATACTAAAATATGGAGGGCACAAGAAGCAATAAAAAAACCTCTAGAGTAGGAAAGTTGAAGGCAACAAATTACAGGCTGTAGAAGGAAACATGAAGCACGCATTTTATATATGATGAAAGCATTGCTCAATTTTAGTTGTAGTACTATCGCCATCGGCAAGACAAATACATTGCACATAGAAGTAGAATAATTGGGATTTTCAAAGCCTAAGATGAAATAGTAGTCGGATGGAAACAGTTGAATTAGGGAATTAAGAGTTAAATCAAAACAACTTGTAGTAAACCAAACCTACAAGGATAATTAAAGCACTAGTGAACAAACTATTTCTCAACAGGATCATCATCATCATAGACATATTACAAGAAAAGAAATTAGCAAAATAAAAACTAAGGCACCGAGCTAACTAAAATAATATTAATGCACATAATTGCATTTTCAATAAATAAAGGCTTTCAACTTTTTATTAAAAGCTTTTGGATTAAGATAAGTAGGTCTATTTTATAAACTTTTTGGTCTGAATTCACAAGGAGATAAAAAGAGAAGAATCAACGACATTTATAACATATTCATGAAATAATGTCAAATTAGAAGCATTTAAGATTGAATTGATTCAAATACTACTCGGTTTTTTTATTTTATAAGTATGTGTCTCAATAGGCTAAATAATTTTATATTATCCCATCTTTTTGTTCTTTATTTTCTTAAAGGTTCTTTTAAGAAATATTGTAATATTAATTGTACCATTATCTTATCATCTAATTTGAATTTCACTTATCTCCTGCTCACATTATAATATATTTATAATTGTCACATTTAATAGCAAGTTATCTATGAATATCATTGTGCAAATTATGCAAGTAATTAGTGTGATATGAATCACATAAAGAAAATACTAAAATGCCAACTTGAATCCTAATGAATACTAACAAGGATTTATAGCCATTTCCTAGGTGATGGATAAAGAAAATTGAAAGCAAACAAACCTCTCAAATACCAGATACTTTTGTGGTCAAACAACATCTATAAAGAAAGTTAAATCAAATGATTTGAATATTTGTGTGGTGATTTGTGTAATTTTGAGATTTGACCGCTTAAAATGTTTTTCATATTTTCTTTATGGTAATCATCATTAATGAATTTTTAAAAATCTTAATGCAAGTTGGCTTTCTTTATAAGTCTCTCTTATTGAATTTCTATGTCAAAAAATAAAAATAAAAATATTCAATTTGATTTGTAAAAATTGTTTCATAGAAGACTCATCGCTTATCAGAATGTTCAGTTTGTTTATCAATTTCATTATGCACGATTGCTTTAGTTTCATAATCAAGAATATATCCAAATTGCATTGATAACCTTGGTTCATATGTAAGAGTTAATTAAATCTCATATATAAGCTCAAAGTCACAATCATGATTAGATTCAAGTTCTAGCCACAATTTAGGTTCAATTATGATTGTAAGTTCACTTTTAGGGGTTGTTTGGTTGCCTATATTTAGAGTGTACGATAAAGTAAATACAAGGGTTTTGATTTTTTTTTTTTGAGTTTGGTTTGATGTAAAGTAAATCCAAAGTAAATGAGCAAAGCATTTTAAACTCCTTGGATAGTGTATTTGCGGTGCATTCCAAGCCCACTTGAATCGGGCGAGTTCCAAATACCGAGCGCTCGCGGGAAAGAGGCTCTTTGTCTCTCGCAAACCTCAGCTTATTCGGACATCTCTCGCGAAATCAAGCTCTCTCAGTCGAAACACAAGCTCTCTCCATCGGTCTTCCTCACGAAATCAAGCTCTCGCGTAAACCTGTCGTGCATGTCGTTCTTCCTTACGAAATCAAGTCTTCGGGTGTGTGCTCATCGTTCTTCCTCATCGGGTGCATGGCATTATCTCTCGTGCAAACCTGCTGTGCTCGTTGTTACTAGGGTTTGCCTCTTCGTATCTTGCTTTTTAATATTTGACTTGTTATTAGGAGAGATGTTGTTGAAGTTCTCTTCTTTAATTAATTCATAAGCTTATTTTGTGTTTAGGGTTTCTATGCTTTATGGTGGAGGTGGATGGGTGAGTTTTCTTGCAAATTTTGCGATTTTTGAGATGAAAGGTTGCATTTTTCTGTAATAGAAATGTCGGGAAAGGTGTTTGTAGGGTTAGTTTTGGGAACGAAAGGATTTTGGAGAAAGGAATAGGTTTTTAAATTTTCTTTTCTGTTTTTTTTTTT